CTCTGCCTTTGCAGACCCCCACCCCCAGGCAGTCTCGCTGGGCCATCACCCCTTGAGTCGAGTCCCGGGTCGCGCCAGGGGGCCCCTCAGCGCCGCGCCCACGACACCCTCTCGTGCCCTCTGGCCTGTCGCGGAGCCGTGTGCCTGGATGGCAGCACCAACTGGTGGCCCCTAGCGCGGAGCCAAGTGAAAATTTCCACAGTGGAGGCCCAGCGCCGTGTCGACTGGCAGAGGCACCCGACCCAGGCCAGGCTCGCCAGGCCAGGCCGGGCTAGCAACAGGAACACGCGCGGTCCCTGCGCCCCCGTCGACTGCCCGCCGTGCCATGCTAACGGCTGGTGGTGCCCAGGGGTCCCTGTCCGCGCCGCCATGGCCCGCCGATGCAGACCTTCTTGCCGTCCACACGCAACGTCGAGAGCCCGCGGCCGACCCTGGCGGCGCCTTAGTCCTCCTGGCTCGATGGAGTGCTACCACCACTTGGCTCAACAGAGCCAGCCATCCCGCGCCTCGTCCTTGCAAGACCCGAGAGAGGTGATCATGGCCGACAGGGGGGAGGGTCCGCCCACACTGACGGGACACGCCTCGCTCGTGTCTAACTCTCCCGTCGCCGTCCCTATGTCGAGTACTTTATGGCCCGCTCGCCCACCCTCCGATGCTCGCCTCTTGCCTCGTGAGCCGTTTCCGCCGCTGCCATATCCTAATTGTACATGCAAGTCTTCCTTTGTGTTGCCCTACTCCTTTCCGACTCCGTACCTGGTCACCTTCCAGACACATCTTCCCTTATACTCGGCTCGGTCATGGTTGGCCCCGCCATGCCGTGGTAACTCGCCTCGACCTCACTCACGTCCACAACTCGCCGTCGCCCCGACACGCATTGCACCAGCGCTCTACTGGAAATGGGAATCCCACAGATCTGATACGAGTCCTGGTCTTCGGAACTATTCACACCGACGTATAAGCGACGCCCCAACTGGACTGGACTCGACTCGCCTGACTGCCTTCGACCTTGTTACCGGGTCACCAACTCTCCTTAATCTTCTTGGCTTTTCACCGCCATCACAATAGAACGACACGCAGCTACCTGACAGAATAATTCATTTTCCTTTAATACTCGAATTTCAGCCAAACACAGGCAGCCAACATGGTCAATCTCACCGGAGTCAATTTATGCCCTCCCCCTTTCTGGGATGCGGAGCTCTTCAGTGCCAAGGGAGGCTGTAAGTTGTCGCCTTGGTGCAGAAGAGGCTCATCATGGTACTAATAGCACGCAGACGTGGACGGGCGGCTGTGCCAAACCATTCCCCCTGACAAAAAATGTTGCCTGCCATGCCCCATGGCGGACTGGGTCTACCCGGACAGCTTCAACACGATGACGGTCGTTGCCAACTGGGTGGCAGCTGTGAGCGCGATATGCTGCGTTCTGCTGCTTGCCTCGTGGGCGGTTTTGCCCGTAGACAAAACGAATCGCCACTACCTCAGTGTCTGTTTCACGTTTGGAGTGCTGTTGATGAATGTAGGTCTTCCGCCCCTTCTGCCGGTGAGGACCCGGGCAGAGGCTGATGCCAAACACAGCTCGGCTTTGTCATTCCGCTCGCCGCCCAGCCGGACCAATGCTACGATAGGATCACGCCGCACAGTATGCACACCAGCAAGGTGTGCGGCGCGTCGGGAACCTTTCTTCTGCTGGGAGGATGGTGTGGCGTCATGTGGGCGTTTCTTCGGTCCCTCTCTCTGCATCTCCAGATCTGCTGGCAGGTTCTCGTCGGTCGCAACTTCATGATCTTCGCGCAAGCGGCGGGTTGGGGCGTCCCCATTCTCGGCATCATTCTCGCCCTTGTCTTCAGCGGCGTCTCGTTCCGATTTGGAGCGACCTGCCACATTAACCACAAGAACAGCCTGGCAGACCTCTGGATCCCGCTCCTCATTTTCGCCGGAGCAACAGTTATCCTCACCTTTGCCACCTTCGGCTACTGCATCAAGGTCTATCTGGCCTCCTTGTCGGACAATTCGGCTTCGACCGAGGGCTCGAGCCTGCCAGCCTACAGCAACAGTGTGCGTACCATGTCTCCGCGCCAGGCATATCGCCGAGTGAAGCGCGTCATCGCCCTACAGTGGCGCGGCCTCGCCATCGTCTTGATCATCATCGCCGACGTCATCTTCTTCTCGGTCGTCTTCGTCTTCCAAGACAACATTGTCCAGTCGGTGACTTCGGATCCGCGTGTCGGCAAGGATTGGGTCTTATGTCTCATCGGAGCATCGGGAGACAAGCACCAGTGCTTGGAAGAAGCCAAGTCGCTGGTTGTGAACGAGGCGACCGTGTCGGCCGTTCTGCTCCTCCTCGCGGTAAGTCCACGACTGCTCACGCCTGCCAGTTGCAGTGACGCGGCGATGCTAACTAGCTGGCAGCTGAATGGCATCTGGCTTCTCTTCCTTCTCGGCCGGTGGTCGATGGTCACTGGCTGGTTCGAGCTGATCCCATCCCTCACAAACCGCAACAAGAAAGAGTTTGTGTCGGTGGACGCCCGGTATGAGGTCAAGAAAGATACACGTTCGTACGAGATGCTCTCAAGAGATTCCAGCGCTGTGGTAACACCACTTTCTCCAGTGAAATCGCCGACCTCGGGGCGACGGACTCCGGATTACTTTGGACAGACGGCCCGATATCACGCTCCCGCGAGGTCTTACTCGAGCCCGCGGCCGCCGCAGGCGCAAACGCCAGCTTGGGATCCGAAGCAAACCTTTGCGCGGCCCGATGGGTACGAGGACATGAACCCATTGGGCATGAACCGGATCTAGAGGGGCGTCTGGAAGCGGCGGACGATACCTACGCAGACACTGCACGAACATTGAAGGCGGGCACAGGATGAGAGATGCATGAATTTCCACTACAAAAACGGACATTCAGCATGAGCGCCCCCGGGCGCCACGCATTGCATCGACCCAGGCCCCCCCTGCTTTGGACGGAGCAGCAGTCTGTCACAACTGGCCGGCGTGGTCAATGACACCTCGCCGGCTCCTCATTATACCCCATTCGCTGGGAGACGCATCGAGGCAGCAACCTGCCACAGCATGGTGTCGAATTGCGAATTTTATGGACAGCGCGGCGTCACGGTCGTTTACGGTTTTATTTTCTCTTGGGTGGACTAGGGGTTGGCGGACTCGGCCCGTGTGTATGTACCACGTATTATGTACCTCATGTACAAATGAGCATGGTCGGTCAAGGACGACGCGACTACGACTGTGAAGCGGGTCTATAGGCAGTATAAGAAATGTACTGTGTCTCGCACCAACTTGGACAAACGGACGTGACAAAAGGCCGATGAGAAACAATGGCGAAGGTGTGGGCCTGAAGCGTGTCGTTGCCCTCGTGTTGTTGCCGCTCCCGCCAGGGGGTGTTCTCCGCCGGAAGCTGCGGAAGCTGCGGAAGGGGCTCACGCCACAGACGGTAGTGAGAGGCTAGCGCTCGCGCGAGCAGTGAGCGACCTGCTGGCCCAACTCGTCGTGCCGTCGCTCGCCTGCGCGCCCCTGGCAGAATTCATGGCGATGGGGCTCACAGGGGGCAGAAGGAAGGGTTTCGACATGTGCAATGCGATGCGGTGCGGTGCGGTGCCCTGCGCCGAGAGCCGGACGCGCGTTCTCGAAAGGCAGCAGCAGCAGCAGCAGCAGCAGCAGCAGCAGCAAGATCCGCCGAACCACGGTTTCGCATTGCGGGAGCCTGCTCGGGAACAGAACCTGGAAGCCAAGAAGGCCAGGAGGAGGACGCATTCTGGGGACACGCGACGCAGAACGCCTATTAACTACGGGTGGGGGGAGGGGGGACACACTCGGCGCGCGCCAGGGCCGCCAGCTCTGCGGGGAGGATTGCCGCCTGGCTACTACGTAAGCAACCAAGGACAATCCAATAGACTTCAAGTTGAAGGCTGGAGCTTCGCAAGACGGCCGCGCACTGAAGATGGCGCCGGAAGTCTGCCGTCGGTGATGTGACCTGGCCTGACCTGACCTGACGTGACTTGAAAGGGCCAGGAGCTTGTGGGCAGTCAATCGCCCTGAGCCGGCGCAGCGCCAAGGTCCGGCAGCCATCCATTAGGATTGTCGCGCGCGCCGCGCTCGTACTCTAGCTGCCGAGCGCCCCGAGCCGGGAGTGAGTGACGAGTGTGTGTCGCAACTAACTTGGGCGGGCGTTGCACCCACAGATGCTTCGCGGGCGCATCCAGCAGGGAGGAGGAGGGGGTTGGGTTCCTTTTTCTCCCACACCAGGCATGGCGATGCTCGGCAGCGTCGGAGCGTGCCAGCAAGAGTAGGTGTGTGTGTGGCCGTTTAAAAAGTCGCCGGCGGCTCGCTGCCTGCGCGAAGGAGGAGGGCCACAAGGGCGTCGTTTGGTCGTCTCCCAGGCATCCGTATCGACATTCCTGCTGCTGCTTGCGGCCACGAACTGCACCCATAGCGAACACGTTGACGTTTGCTTCTACGCCTTTGCCATCGGTTGCAGGCTGCGACGTCGCCGGCTGCGCTCGTTCGCTCGACTATTTATGTCAGGACGCCTGCTGCCCGCTCGAGTCCTGCATTGCTCGTCGTGATTGCGCCGCCCTCTAACTCGCTGTATCGCGGCGTCGCAGCTGTCGCAGAGACACGGAACGGCCGGCATCTGCATCTGAAACACTGAAAATCGACGAGCGGCTGTGCGCGCTGGTGTGCCAGGCGAATATACAACACCCAATCGACGATCCCGGGGCTCTGCAGTCCTACACTCATTCTCGCCGACGACGACGCTCGACTGGCTGCGCAGGCCATTGGTGTCGTGTGCCCGTTTGCCGCTCCAGACGTGGTGGTGGTGGTAGCTCGTGCTTGGGGCGCGCTACGACCCACGGGCTTCGCTGAGGGCGACCAAGGCACCACGAAGCGGCCAGCCGAATAGGCGAGGCCGGACGAGGAGTAATTCCTATATTAAGAGGAGGATTGACGTCGCAGAGGCGGCAGAGAAAACGGAGAAAGAGTGCATCATGGACCAGACATCACAGTCGCCGGGAGGCTTCATCGCCGGGGCGCCGGACAGTCGCGACGACGGACACCGACAGCCCAAAGCCGCGGGACAGAGCGAAAGCTATGGCCATGGCAATCTCATCGACGGCACGTTTACCGACGACGCGATGCCCCTGTCTCCGGCGTCAGAATCAGCGGCCACAACAACACCGCGGGAGCTCGAGTCCAGGTTCGACGCTCCCGCGTGGCTCAAGCAAAAACGACGGCGTCCGCTACGGGGACTGCTACGGTCTTCGCGCCGCGCTCTGAGGCTGAGGCGCTCGCCTTGCGGCATGTTCCTCCTGATGCTGGCGGCGGTGCTGGGAACCTTGGCCGCGTATACTTGGAGGAGAGAAAAGGGCTTCGATGCGCCGTGGGTTCCCGACCCGGAGTCGCAGCGCTTCGCGCTCCAGCCTCTGCCAACGCCGCTGAACCGGACGCTCGTGGCCGACTACGAGCTGCCACTGCGGACCAAGGGCCGGTATATCGTGGACGCCGCGGGCCGGCGCTTCAGGCTCTCGTCAGTAAATTGGTACGGGGCTAGCGACGAGCTGTTCGTGGCAGGCGGGCTGGACGTGCGGCACCGGGCCGAGATTGCACAGACGATCAAGAAGCTGGGCTTCAACAGCGTGCGACTGCCGTACGCGGACGAGACGGTGCGGGCCAACCCGCGCATCGACGCGGATCTGGTGGCGGCGAACCCGGACCTGGCGGGGCGGCGGGCCATGGACGTCTTGGAGGCGGTAGTGGAGGCGCTGACCGAGGCCGGGTTGGCCGTCATCGTCAACAACCACATCACGAGCGCTACGTGGTGCTGCGGCGTGGACCCGTGCGACGCGGGCTGGGCCAACGACCACCTCGGGCCGCTGTGCCGGGTGCGGCAGACCGAGGACGAGTGGATCGAGAACTGGGAGGACGTCATGGCTCGCTTCGTCAACAACCCGCTCGTCATCGGGGCGGACCTGCGCAACGAGGTGCGCGGGCTCTGGGGAACGATGCCGTGGGCCAAGTGGGCAACGGCGGCGGAGCGGTGCGGGAACCGGCTGCTGCGGATGAGGCCGGACTGGCTGATCGTGGTCGAGGGCACCGAGTCGGCCAACGACGTGTCGGGGGCGCGGACGCGGCCGGTGCGGCTCGACGTGAGCGAGCGGCTCGTGTATTCGGCGCACGTGTATAAGTGGTCGGGATGGGGCAGCGTGGACGGACGGTTCCAGCAGCGCACGTACGCGTCGTTTGCGAGGGCCATGGAGCGCAACTGGGGCTACCTGCTGTCGAGCCAGGTCGCGCCCGTCTGGGTGGGCGAGCTCGGGGCGCCGGGGCGGCCGTCGGTTGGCGATGCGCATTACTGGCAGCACCTGTGGCGGTTCCTGCGCGAGGTGGACGCCGACTTTGGATACTGGGCGCTCAACGCGAGGAAGCCGGCGGGCAACGAGACGGAGACGTACGGGCTCGTGGCCGACGACTGGGCGACGCCGGTGCTCGACTTTCGGCTCAAGGACATGCTGGAGCACATGAGGAGGGCGTGAAGTGCCCGACGGCCGAACGATGTACTAGTCCGTGTAAGGGAAGTCTGGAGTAGTTTGACGACGAGATGATGAGAGTTCAGCCTTTGTTTTGCAAGTTTGTACGAGTACGTGCGTCTGTGCGTTGCGTGTACATCGTACAAAGTCCGGATTGGTGAGCGGAGGAGCGCTTGATGCCCGAGGTGATGATGTCTTGGACAAAAAAGGCGTGTGTCTCGTTGTCGATGTGTGCCGCCCAACAAGGGAGACGCTTGAGAGACTGAGGATGGAGAAAGTGAGACAGTTTGCACTGCCGGCAGCCACGCAGCGGCCACGCAGCGGCCACGCAGCAGCAGTTCGCCCCACCCTGCATCTGCAACAAAGGGACGGACGGGCAAGAACGCCTGGCCCCGCCTGCCGCGGCCGGGTTGCTGGCGGAGGTACGAAGTACATATTGTGACGTGGACATGGCAAATACAACTGGAAGGTACTCCGTAAATGAAGACAAATTGAACTTGACATCAAGGGCCGGGGAAGGGGTTCCCGGGCACTGAACAGATGAAGAGACAGTAGACATCCACTCCCATGGATATCGAGGGCTCGCCTCGCAGGGAGCGGCCTGCTTGCTTGCCTGCCACATGGGCACCACTGCCGGGCGTGTGAGCGCCATGGTGGGGGGCCGGCTCGGGGCACCGGCAGCTTTATCGATAACGCCCCGGCAGGGTACGTACCTTGCAAACAACGACCACGACCGACCCTGCGTAACGCTTGTGTCACTGCGCGGCAAGGTGGCGGCGGCACCCCAAGCACCCCGAGCACCCCACCTCGCCTCGCTGGAGTGACTCGACCTCACCCGGCCGGGCCTCGCCCACTGCTGCCACTGCGCCCACTGCACTTGGTCCCTCCCCAGCGCCGAGCGAAGCTCCAACGTGACGGAAGCTTCAGCCCGCAACAACGCCAAACCCAACCTTGAACCCACGATACACCACCACCTCCCGCCTCCATCCCGCTCGCCACCCGACAACCAGGACCTCTTCCACCTCGCCCAGCGCTGCTCATGTAGCAAACGAGCATCCATTAAACACGTCGCCGAAGCGGCAGACCAGCATCCATCGCCATCCTCATCCTCCCCCCACCGCTGTCCACCCCTCCTCTCCGCTTCACACATTTTACATGTCCACGCAGCCCGATCCCATCGTGGCGAGCCTCTCTCCTGCGCTGCGGCCATGGACCAGCCAGACGAGGTAGTCGCCAGCTCGGCCCATGCCGCGAAAGACGACCGTCCCTTTGACGCTGTGTCGGTCGGCACGTGCTACTCACAGACAGCAAACGACCGGGTAAATCACAACTCACTCGCCTCTCACCATTTCCCTGTCGCTGACCTGCTCTCCCAGTTTGGCCGCGGTGCGAGCGACGTGATTCGGGAGCGGGATGAACAGGAACAATCCGATGATGCTTCGCTTGCCCCGCTGCCGCCCAACTGGTTTACTTTCGAGCCCGACGTAACAGCCGGCGCTGTGGGAGACTTGTACGCTCGTGTCCCGACGATGCAGCACTATCGGAACAACCTCACTGCCCTTTCACACTTGTACAACGTACGCTTGCCCGGCTTCCAGGCACCTCCCTCCCAGCTCGACGGGGTTGGGCTCACAAGCTGACGCGTCATCCGTAGCTTTACTTTGTTGCGTACCAGGGCCAAATCTTTGTCTACGTGCCCCGGGGCATACCCAAACAGACCATCCCCCGCGACCCAGGGATCAAGCTTGTGCCGCCACAGAGCCCGCTTGGCAGCTTGGTCGGCGGCTACCAAGACCCTGCCGACCCCCATACCATGAACCACATGATTGTCGGTATGCTCGGCAGGGAGGAGATTGTTGTCGCCAGCTATGACGATGGGGACATTATCGCCTACTACACAAAGGATATTGCCGACTGCGTCCTCGACCGCCCTCAGAAGCAAAACCCCCCGGCGCCATTCTTCCACGAGAACGTTGGCAAGTCGGCCTGGGGGCTCGCTGTCCACCAGGAATCTCGCCTCATCGCAGCCAGCTCCAACAAGTGCGAGGTCACTGTCTTTGCGCCCGCCCTTGCTGCATCTCGGAAACGGGCCAACGAGGGCGCCGACAGGTGCTCCAAGTGCAAGGCCAGCAACCCATGCGACATGATCGAGTCTCACGTCCGCCAACGCGCGCGGAACTGGCGGATTGTGGTGAGGCTGGGCAGGATGGCAGATAATATTCCAAACATTGCCTTTGTCGATGACAAGAAGGGCTTTGCCGAACTCATTTGCGCCATGGATATCAAGGGCGGCGTCTGGTTGGCTCACATCTGGAAGCCGAACCAGGCCGCTTTGCGTCTGGCTCCCGCTCCCAGCATGACGTCTCGGAGGTCCGAGGCCTGGCCGTCTCCTTCTAGGTATGCCCTTAAACACCTCACTGGCCGACGCAGTCGCACGAGTTACTAATTCCGCCACTCCTTTAGAGGCTGGGGAGTTTTGCCGCTCACTACAGCCGAATTTCTCAGAGTTGAGTCGTTTGAGCAACTGCTTGGCATCACTGCCTCGCAGGCGATCGAGGCACCACAGGTGGCCTTGAATATCGAGAGATGCCTAGAATGCGTGCCGGATAACCCTTGCGTACCCATCCCGTCCCAGCCAGCCGGCCCCGTGCCCACTCATCCCGTGTTCCCCGACCCCATCCCGCTACCAGCATTCATGGTGCCAGGTGCCGTGCCGGTGGCCCTAGCGCCCGAGCCGCAGCAAGCAGAACTAAGCAGCTCGGAAGAGTCGGGGGCCGAGGCCAGCAGCGAAGTGGGAGAAGGTACCGTTAATACCATAGGCAATGACGGAGCCGGCAACGACAACGACGGCAACAACAGCTCGGGTTCGGGAAACCTCGACGAAGAAGAGGACGAAGACGAGGACGAGGACGAGGATGAGGTCGAATATGACTCCGCAGACGAGGTCAACCCGCTTCCATGGGACCTCTCGCTGGGGAGCGATGATGTCTTGTATTTTGGCACGGCAAATGTGGCTCCAGGGTCAGTGCCCGGCAGCGGTGGCCTGGGGACCTCGTTGATGGCACTCCTCGGATCGCCTGATGGCGCCAACATGCTCCTCCCAAGCTTTCATAAGACGATGCTTGGACATCACACGAGCCACGGAAGCGCTTCAGGGGTGTCTGCCAGACGCAGAACCAAGACGGAGTGGGAGGGCGAGGAGCAATCGTCGACCTTGAGCCTCGACATGGTGTACTTTCCGCACACCGGCGAGGCATACGCGGCGCCCGCGGACCACAGGGGCCTCATGCAGCTTTTTGCGCGCGTCGACCCGAGGAACGAGAATAGGGAGGGGGCTGAGACGCTCAGGCGGTCGTTTGGCAAGCGACATCGCCTCCTCCGCCTTCACGAGAAGGAAGTGGAGCTGCGCAACGTAGCGCATTGGGCGGGCCAGAAGCGGCCGCGGTGCGAGCTCGCGGTCTTCTGCCCTGAGACACTCAGCACCGGTCCAATATCGCCTAGGACGGCTAGAACCATGTTCCACGCGACGAACAGGCTCAGCATGGTGGCGCACTTGCGGGAGCTGTCGCTGGTGGTTGTGGCATCGCCGGTGGGACGGGTGCTGCTCCTCACGCCGACAAAGCTGAAGCGTCCGGAGCAATGGCGGTCTGGGGAGCTACGGCACGGATTCCGGGTGGAGTGGGTGCTCCCGCGCAAGTCGGACGAGAAGGTGCACCGGAAGACGATGCGGCCACTGCACGGCATGGCGGTAGGCCCTGTGCCGGGCTCCGGCGCCGAGGGCAAGTCTGGCGATGGCAGCGAGAGCCAGATGCGCGGCCCGCACCGTCGGTACCGGCTGATGCTCCACTACCGCAACCACGACATCTTGACGTACGAGATTAGCCGCGAGGAGCAGACGGGCAGGCTGTGCATAATCTGAAGGGGCAGACGCAGGGGGGATGCAAAGGGGACGCAAGTGGAGTGTCTCGCAAGGGGCTCGCAAGCAGAAAGCTCACAGAGTGTAATCGGAGAGGCGAGGGAAGCGCCATCGCAGGGCACAGGGGGGGACTCGACTGGGTTTGCATTTGCAGTGGCAGGATTCGGCGCACCAAGATACCCCCATCGGCATGTCTGTTGCATTGTTTTGCTTTGAGCATGAGTCCGGCAAGGACAGCTGTGTACAGTTTACCATAGGCACGCCCGACAGGTGGCGCGAGCGGACAATCAAGATTGTCTAGAGCGAGATGCAGGGCGCAGGACGGAATGTGCCGTGGCGCGAGCGTCGGTACGAAGTACGTAACGAGATGATGAGAGTGACGTTGATATAACATTATGTGTCCCATGTACGTGACGTGTGGAGCGACCCGGGGCTCCGGGTGGTTGGATGCGGCGCCGCGGTTCCCCAGATCTCGACGGCAACTCTATCTGGGGCGCCTGCAAGTGTATCGTGCGTATCTCATGCGGGCGGATAGTGACAGGACGGAGCGTGTCACCCCCAACACCACGTTGACTTGTTACTTGTCACTTGGTGCGCACCCGACGCAATGACGCAGTGGGTTGGGTGCGGTCAAGGCAGTCAGGCACACGAGGCAGAGAGCGCTCTCCCGCTCGGGGTGTGGATCTGGCTACGCGCCGCGATCTCCCCGCCGGCCGGGTCCCACGCCATCGGGAGTCCGGTTCATCGGAGACCCCCTTTTGGGTGGGCATGTGGTCCGGCCCAAGTCCCCTGGAGGCCCCACGCGAGGGTGAGTGGCAGGAGATGGATGGATGACCACTGGGGATTTGCAAAGGGGCGGGCGATGCACGCTGATAAGGCCCGGGGCAGGGGCTCGGGGTGATGAGTCGCGTGCCCGCCGAAGGAGAGGGACACGACTTTTTCCCGGAAGGATTGAGAACAAGGGATCAGTTTAGTAGTTACTACGTCCGTATGGACGTGCCCGGCCGCTTGGGCTGTGGACCGTTCCGACGGCCCTCCCCCGGACAATTGCACGTGGGTGTGTCGGTGTGTGCGTGCGAGAGCTTTTCACCACCAACGAGGGCATTTTCGATGCCCATGATGCCGCAAAGCTGATGGGCTGATGGGCGATGGATGAATGAGGAGGGTGATCAATTCCGCGCGAAAGAGCACAATGCTCTCGCATTGGCAAGCTTGTCTTCTCTCTCCGGCAACGCTTCGGCGCCTCGGGAGGGCAACGCCGACGTCCGTCAGGATCATCATCATCATCGTCGTCGTCGTCGACGAGATCGGAGGCCGCTCGCGTGGGGGAGACAATAGGGGTAACTTCATACGTACGGTGCGTGCCGTGCCCTTGGCGGCAACAATGGACGATTTGGCAGTTTGATGCGATGGCAGATGCCCAGGGCCCCCCCATCTGCTACCAGTAGTGTTTGTTACTACATTACTAGGAGCAACTCAATTGATTGATGCCGCCCTGCCAAGCTGCGACAACGGTCTGGTCAGTGGCACTCTCATTGAAGAGCAGCTCCAGCCAGGTCTTGCCCAGGTACGGCCCGTCAAGTCAGCGGTACTTGACACAAGCTTGCCCCGTCCCATATCAAGGAATGAGCGATGATGATTGGCCGGGCGCCTATCCGGCAGGTTGACCAATGCCGCCAGATAATGGATTCAGTTCCTCTTAGTCCGACCTGCGCAACCCAGCACGCACCAGCGCCAGCGCCAGCAGCATAGCAAGTGGCGGCACCACCCACGGGCAGGCGCAGGGCCAAAAGCAGCAGCCTGGACGGACGCCACGCACGAATCCAGCCAGTCAGCGGCGCGGCGTGCCTGCCTGACTCAGCCGCCAACTGCCGTCCGTATCGGGCCAATCAGCGGGTGCGGCAGGAAGCCTGGGCTGGGCTGAGCATTTTTGGTCCTTATCAGCGACCGACGACGACGGGCTGGCTGCTGTCTCTGCTGGACGCTGGCGCTGCACTGTACGGCGCGGGCATGTAAGTACCGACCTGGTGCTTTACCTCTTCCTCGTCGTCCTGCTCTTTTGAAGTGCTCCAGCCCTGGCCGGGGCGCTCTCTCGCGCGCGCGGGTGCAAACGGGTGGGCGTCATTTCAGCATTTCGTCTTTTTTTTTTGTCCCTGTTCTATTCCTGGTCGCGAGCGCCCTGCCGCCGTGGCTTTTGCCCGTCCTCGTATTGTTGTTTGTTATACGTACGTGGACCGTTGACCGTCCAAGCACTTTTTGTCGTGGTGGCAGAGTTGATGCCTCTTCACGTCTGCCTGACCATGTTGGCCGCCTCGCTGCCGTCTCAACATCCTCCATCTTCATCTTGAAACCCGGTCGGAGCCCCTAGGTTTTACATGCGTGGCACCTCCCGTCTGGAGGCAGCATCTAGACGGTCGGGGGAGGGCACAACAACGGGGGGAAAAAAGAAACGAAACCGCATGCCGCAGGGCATCATCTTGTCAGCAGAAGAAGACGCGGTGACGTCGCTGCGAAGCCCCAACTCCCTCGGACAACCACCGGCCGGCTGGCTGGCGCCCTGCCATCCTGTCCAGGCTCTCTCCCGACCAGCCGGCGCCGGACGTTCCCGGGTCGGAGCGCCCACGGATGGCTTATTCCAACGGGCTGCTGACCCTGTTTACTGATAGTGCTGCTGGGCAGTAAATACTGGGCCCCCCTTTTTAGGGGTCCGACAAAGGCCATAGTATCTCGCGGTGCCATTTCGTTGGCGTTGATACGTACTGTACATACTACTGTACTCTTCTCGGCGCAGAGCACAGTGCCGCACCGTAAGTAGGTACCTACAGCACGAGGTTCCGTCCCCGGGCTCGCGGTGGCGTTCCCACTGCAATTGGGCGGCTCTGTCTCGCGGGCAGTACAGTAGGTCTGATGCGCTCCAGTTTGGCAAAGCGCCACCGCGCCTTAATTTTTTCCTTCTTGCCCTCTCTCGTCTGGCCGTGTCGTCCCTTATCGTCCAATCCGACCGCGCGCCGCCCGTCCCTTGCAAAGCCCACCCCCGGGAACTTGTAACTCTGTCTGTGTCTCTCTCCCATCCATCCATCCCTCTTTGCAGCTCAGAACCAGCCACGCACATGCCAGGGCTTGATGCAAAAGCTGGGACGGAGAATCAAAGTAAACCCATCGACAATGACATGAATTGAATTCAATTGATGGTGGTGCAAGGAACGCACTGTAGAATCGAAAACGGGACCCATGGTCGCAGCGAGTGAAACCTCGTCGCGCGCCGCCCCGGAATCGCCGCCCCGTTTTCGGCACTGATAAGAGGCCGCCTCCACTGTACACGCGCGCTGCGGCACAGGCCAGGCTGGGGAACCTCGGCGAGCAGCAGCACCTCAGAAGCAGAAGCAGAGACGCCCCGTACTGTGCTGTGCGACGCGGCGCGGCACTGTCCTCTTGCCCGCTGTCCAAGCCTCCGCCGTCCCGCGCAGCACAGTGCCGTCCGGTCCCGTCAGCCCAAGATACCGTCTCCTCCACCCCCCCCCCCGGGATCAGCAGCGCCTCGTCCAACCCCAAGGGTCGCTCGCTCACTTTTCCTTATCTCTGCGTGTAATGTACCGGCTCGCACACGCCCGCCGCCGCTGTACCTCGACTTTCCATTTACGTACCGCCTCGTCGCCCGCGTGCTATCGCTATGGGGTAACGGCTCCTCGCCATCCGCCTCCCCCAGACGCCGATAATGTAGATAGATAAACTCGCCTGCTCCCTTGTCGCCCGTCTCCCGCTGCCCATGCATGTGCCTCGCGCTGCTGCCGTGATTCCAGCTTATCTCTCCTGCTCCCTCTCTCCTCTCCTTCTCTCTCCCTCCCCCTTCATCAACACCGCCCGCGTCTCACACTCTCACCATCCGTGCCTGCGACCTGCCTTCCCGAAGCAGGAGTCCAACCACCCTTATCTCGCATACGGCACCGTACCGCCTGCCGTCCGACCCTTTCCTGCTGCCGCTCTTCCGCCCTCTCAACGCGCGCCGACATGTCGTACGCCCACGTCGGGGCGCCCACAGCCTTCAATGGCACGGACGACAGCATCGGTGGTGATTCCAGTACGTCGAGCGAGGCCCCCCTGCTGCCCGCTCTGCCGTAGAGGTAGAGCACTGTAGAGCCAAATGCTGACACGCCCGTGCCCAAACAGCCACCGAGAACCTCAACCAGTGGTATCAGGCCGGCGACCAGGCCTTCATCCTCCTGAGCGCCTGTCTCGTCCTCCTCATGGTCCCTGGCATCGCCTTCCTGTACTCGGGCCTCGCCCGGAGAAAATCGGCCCTCTCCATGCTCTGGGTCGTCATGATGTCCTTTTCCGTCGTCGTCTTCCAGTGGTACTTTTGGGGATACTCCCTGGCCTTCGGCCAGACATCCGGCAACCCCTTCATCGGAGACCTCAAGCACTTCGGCCTCATGAAGGTCTGGGCCACGCCCTCGGTCGGCTCCCCCCTCATCCCTGCCCTCCTCTACTCCTTTTATCAGATGATGTTCTGTGCCGTCACCGCCGCCCTGACCGTCGGTGCCGTTGCCGAGCGTGGCCGTGTCATCCCCGCCATGGTCTTCACCTTCTTCTGGGCCACCCTGGTCTACTGCCCTCTCGCCTACTGGGTCTGGAACGCCAACGGCTGGGGCTTCAAGCATGGCGTCCTCGACTATGCCGGCGGCGTCCCCGTCGAGATCGGCTCCGGTGTCTCCGCCCTGGCTTACTCCTGGGTCCTCGGTCGCCGCAACGACAAGATGATGATGAACTTCCGCCCCCACAACATCTCCCTCATCACCCTCGGCACCATCTTCCTCTGGTTCGGCTGGCTGGGCTTCAATGGCGGCTCTTCCTTCGGCGCCAACCTTCGCGCCGTCATGGCTTGCTGGAACTCGTGCCTGACGGCCATGTTCGCCGCCATGACTTGGTGCCTGCTCGACTTTCGCCTCGCCAAGAAGTGGTCCATGGTTGGCTGGTGCTCTGGCACCATCTCTGGTCTCGTCGCCGCCACTCCCGCCTCTGGCTTCATCGATCCTTGGGCTAGCATCGTTCTCGGCGTCGTCGCCGGCATTGCTTGCAACTTTGGCACCAAGGGTGAGTCGCCCCTGGGCCCTGCTAGCCTCGCCATTCGCAATTATCCACTGACGTCTCCTTAGTCAAGTTCCTCATTCGCATCGACGACAGCCTCGACGTCTTCGCTGAACACGGTATCGGCGGCATGGTCGGTCTCATCTTTAACGGCTTCTTCGCTACCGGCAAAGTCATCGGGCTCGATGGTGTCAACACTGGCCTGACGGGCGGTTTCCTTGACGGAAGCTACGTCACCCTCGGCTGGCAGATCGCTGCCATTGTCGCCTCCTCGTCGTACGCCTTCGTCATGTCCGCCATCATCGCCAAGATCATCGACATCATCCCAGGCCTGAAGCTGCGCGCCTCCGAAGAGGCAGAACTTCTTGGCATGGACGACGACCAGCACGGCGAGTTCTCGTACGACTACGTCGAGGTTCGCCGAGACTTCCTTGCTTGGAGCCCTCACCGTGACGAGCCGGCCGAGGATGGCGAGGCTCTGGAGCCGCAGCATGGCATTCAGGAGCACGCGAGCATGATTCGCCCCCACAGCTCCTCCGATGGCGGCGCCGTCGTTGAAGAGAAAAAGTCGCCTGCCTCGTCGCTGCAGGACGAGAGGGTCAAGGTGGAAGGAGAGAAGCAGGCGTAGTCGCTTCACGGCGCATATGTTCGAACATCGGATTTGGTGGCCTATTTTCATCCTCCATGAGGTTGGGTTTGTTTTGTAGCCCATAGCAACGGGCTTGGTAGCCGGCGCTGGCGTTTGGTTGATTTGCGCATTTAGAATACCCGATGGTAGTGAGGCAGGCGAGGGGTGAACCTGGGAAAAGCAAACCGGCAGTTCCTTCAAGCTGCGAAGTCAACTTGCTTCATATTTCCCGTACATTGTATCATCCAAAGCTGTGCCTGGTACGTTCCAAGTGAGAACGATTCATTGTCCGTGACGCCACGCCATTTTGTTGCCCCGAGTCTTCCCATGCAGTACTGTACAATCAAGGTGGGGATCCGTCGGTAACGTCGCCGTACGAAACTTTGGGGTAGTCTCCAAAGCACGCGTGCTCGAAATTGGCTTTGGCAGCCATACCTTCTTGCACCTTCAAGAATGTGTCCAGCTCGCACCACCCATCCTTGCGGGCCGCGTCGCACTCGGGAAAGCTGTGACCCAAGGGCAGAGTGCGCTGGTTCAGAATGAAGTGTATATACTTGGTTTCACCTCCGCGCAAGTACCCGTCTCGATTGGGCGACAGCGGCTTCGGTGTCTTGATGATCTCGATGTCCAGACGAGCTCCAAACGGCGTGATATGGGAGACGGTAAAGTTGTGTGGGCCGGGGTTCCTCGTAGCTGGCAGCTCTTCAGCAAATTGTCGCAGGCCGAAGGCTGTCAAGACCGAGACAATATTGGTATCGTGGGAGAAGTCAAAGTACAGGCTTTGGTTCAGCGGAAATGTTTCTGTGCTGCTGTCGAGTGTGACGTTGATTTGTGAGCCCGAATAGCCAAGTGTGTGGTTCTTCAACCGCGCAATGACCTCCTGTTGATAGCCGAGGCCGACTGCCCGCCCGGCTGGGCTGTGAAAAGCACTGTATGAGGAGAAGAAGAGATCAATAGAATAGCCAAACCCTTCCCATTCCTCGTAAGTAAAAAGGTCGCAAAACTTGCTGAATCCGTACGCCACGGTCTCGTACGGGCACATGGTCTGCGCTGCGTACACGTCATCCACGGTCCATGTAAAATCCTCGGAGAGAGCCTGGAAACGAGTGGTTGCTGTTCTGTGTCAGCATTCGACAAGGCTAAAATAATTTACAGCGCGGCTCACCATCCTGGAGATAAGTGTGAATCCACTTGGCCCGTGCCTCGTTGCCTGGTCCCTTGGAGTCCGCGTTTGGGCAGTTCAGCGATCCGGCAAGCGAGTTGTTGAACCCTTGCTTTTCGATGATTACTTCAATAGTAGCATTATTCGGCCTAGAAATTATGTCAGAAGGAAAGGCATGCGATAGCTCCAAGGAAGACGGACCATTCCAGCCCGAAGAAGCCAGCCATCCAGTTCTCGGCCGACTTGAGCATCCGATCTTGGGTCTGCGGGTGGCAGTCAGTGTATGAGTTTGAACTGAGCTTGAGAAACCCTGTCGCACCGTCGTTCTAACAATGATTTTGCTCTTGGCGTTGTACAAGCTGCCGTACATGTAGCTGTGAAGGATTCCTAGAGGCGTTCAGTAATGCTGGGCTCAGCTCCCACAGGCGGCAATTCGTCTCACCTGACTCGAACAGCTCTTCCCGGCCCTTTGGCACCAGGATCTCGTATCCAAGTTGATACTTCCAATTGTTGAGGAACGAGAGCTGTCCTTTGAGCTTGGCCTTCCCCGTAGCATTGGCGAATTTCTCTCCCAACCGGGCGACGTCGGCCCCGGACGTGGGATACCGAGCCCCATGGCGAGAGAGCATCTGAACCTGAACGATCTCGGCATCCGGGGGCAGCGGGAACTCGCCGACTCCAAAGCCGGGCGATGGGGAGTATGGAGACAAGAAGCCCATCATTTTGAAGATGCTCTGGTTACCTTGACCCATGCCTTCAACGGGTATCGAAGTTTGGAGCGGCTCATTCGGCACATAGCTGGCCGTGGGGTTGAAAGTCCTCGTCTGAGCCAGGAAGGCTGGCTTCCCTGTAGCCGTGGGTCCCGGCCAAAGCTCTGGAGATGTCTGGAAATACTGAGGCACCTTGGACGGCAAACACGGACATGACCCGTGTCCACGAAACGCATATGGCAGAGATAGGTAAAGGTTGGAGCCGACGAGGATGACGAGGCAGACGGATAGTACGTAAGTGGCTACCCTGAATCGGTGCTCAGAGCGAGATTGGGGGGTCGCAAAAGCAGCAGCGATGTCATCGCCCGTCTGTCCCTCATCAGCAGAGCCCTCATTCTCGTCGTCCTGGTGAACAGGCTGGTAACCAGCCGAGCCGGCGGCGCCAGAGTGCTTGGGCCCGGAGGCGGCTCCGGAGGCGGCCCGGGGGCCAGACACGGCCGCAGTGGCCATGGCACGGGCTGCCGATGGTGGCTAGTTTGGCCGAGGCCGCTGGAGTGGAGGAGGACGGTCGGACACAGGAGCCCCCGCTCACCGGCCGCATGAGCTGCCGAAACCTTGATCTGCGGCGCGTTTCCTGGCCAAGGTTGGTATGCCGTGCGGACAGAGCGGTGCGGTGCGGTATGGTGCCGGTGCCCGGACGCGCGTTGGGAGCTTGGGAGGCGCGAAGACGCGGCGGCGCTGCAGGTGCCACAGGTGCGGCCGGTCTGGTTCGAGGGCCGAAGGGAATGGTCCGGTTCGGCGGTCTGGCGGTGGATGGATGATTGAAACCCGTGATGGATTGGTGGATTGCCCTGTCGCACTTGGCCCAGCGCGGCGGGATGCTTGTCGGTGCGAGGTGCGCCCCTTTCACCTTGTGTCTGCGACATGCATGAGGTTGAGGTGGGACACGGAGTCGTGCGAATCGCGGTTGCTGGCGCTGAAGTGCACGCGGTACGTCGCGCATACCAAGCGGGTTCCTACGAAGCAACCGCTGGGGTGTGGCGGCTGACTGGAGCGTCCAAGTATTCTGGAGGTAGCGCCAGCTTCCAAGCCTCTCACTGGGGGAAGCCAAATGTGCAGTGCAGGTCGTGGCTTCCCCTGGGATGGCCTTCGAGATTAGCACCGTGCCACATGTCGCAGCCACGCACAGTGCATCCACGCCGGTTGAAGCACCGAATCACCAGTGCGCTCGGTGGCTCCTTCTGTGGCACGGCAGATGGCCGGCCCCGTGACTACGGCCCCAAGAACCAGGACCCGGACCAGGGCCAGGGCCTGGGCCGGAACCGCGACCCGGGTCAGGACTGCCCGCAGGCAGGGGAAGAGCCGGACGACTCGGCGAGCAGAGCCTTACATGCCCTCTCCCTGCTTGCGCGTCAAATTGTGCTCCCTCCCGCGCGAGGTATTCGGTACTCCCGTCTGTACTGCAAGGCGACCGCCCGTGCTGGTATACCGCGGACGAAGCACTCACGTGTACGTACGGACTCTCTACCAAGTATCCGTAGTACCTTATTATGTAGCTACAGTGTGCAAAAATCCCCAATCAGCCACTCCTTCGCTCCGTCCCCGGCCTCCACTCATCAGTCTCACCCTGAGTCTCCAAGTGAGCCTCACTCCTCACACAAGCCTCGTCAACACACTCCGCCGCCGCCGCCGCCGCCGCCGCGGTGCAACACATCGCTCGTCAGGCGGCCTCTCTTGTTTACTCTTCCCTCACCGCTCATTGGCATCCGGCAAGGGCGGTACTGGCCCGCGGCAGCAGAGTCGCAGCAACCCTGCTCCGCGGCCATGCACAAGGAACCAAAAAGCAACGACTCCAACGTCGAGCATGTTACGCCAGGCCGTCCGTCCGCCGCCAGCTCCCGGATCGACGCCCTGTAATCTCGCGACTCGACGGCTCCCGCCCTTCTCTGGCCAACTAGCTGCCAGGACGCACTGCTTGGCCCGGGTTCGCGTCTTTGACCCTCGTCCGCATCTGTCGTGCGTCGCTGGCCCATTGCTCTGCCACCAGCCCGCCGGACCTCCGCCAATCCCGAGTACGGACCGGCTGTCATGCTGTCAGTATCCCAGTTCCATCAGAGGTCCGGACCGTGGTTCGGCCGCCGGTCACGTCGTTCGCGGCACCCAGGGTGTCGGTCCTCATTGGCAGGCGTAGGGCTGTCATCCCTTGCAATCACCCCTCTGCGTGCTCGAAAGGGGGCCTCTTGGAGACCCGGAATCTTGGAAAGGCGACCCGTGACTGGCTTGAGAGCCCTGGCGAGCTGCCATTCTGGGGCATATCGGGACCCTGTTATCCCGGAGCGCTGGCACTGTCTCAGAGGACCACTAAACCAGTCAGACGCCTCATCCACGTCTGTTGATCACGAAGAGCGTGCGCCCCCTGCCGGCCCTATCGCCCCTTGCCGGTGTGCACCTCAGTATTGTCAGGAAGCCACCACTTTCCGCTATGGCGCTGCAATTAGCGGCCTCCAGGCCCGGCGCCGCTCTCATCAAGACCAAGATCGTCACCAAATCACCCAACATTCGAGCCGATACTTTGCCTCTGAACTGACGCATTAGCCTATATGGATGTCTATTGTCCATTACCACCGTCTATAAACCACAGGGTTTGCCGCAGAACCTGAGTTCTAATGAGCAATCTAGTGCAACGCTTTTGTTTTGGCCAAACGCCGTGCCCCTAACAAATCGCAAAACACACTCCACGAGTCCATGCAATGGCGCGCCGCCCATATTTCAGCAGACATCAACTCCGAGTCAGAGCCTACCAGCGACATGCATTAGTCTCCCTTACTTGACGCCGCACCCACCTACCAAAACAATGTCGAGTATGGTGCTCTTGAATTTGATTCTCTCTCCCTCTCGTGTTCTTGTTGCGTCGAGTATCGCTTCAGTTGGGTTGGGTCCGCAAGGGAAAGAAGCCGTCGGGCATGGGTTCGAGATGCCATGTTCTGGCTCGTCCTGGCGCAAAAGCCTTGGTCCATTCCAAAGCGAGATCGGCAGGGATGGCCCACCCCATGTCGTCGTCGCGAAGCCTCATGCGGACCAAGTGTCGACGCTCGGTCGGTGCCTCTCCGTCGACAAATCCCTCTCGCCGGTGCAGAACTGCCAGGTTGTTGATGAAGTGCATATCACCAGCCTGAGTGGCGATTTCGAGTTGCGTTGCCCGCGCAATGCTTTCGATGGCGTCCAAGGCTTCCGTCTGGCTGCTGTTGAGCTTGGGAAGCCGCTCGGAGCGGGCATAACTGGAGCTCCCCAGCAGCGCCGTTCTGCCAAAGTTGGTGATCAGCCGCCCCTGGTGGTAGAAGATGACTGGGCGGCACTGGAACCGGGGCCTGGCAAAAATGGTGCGTCAGCCGCTTGTACCAAAAGCCTGCCACCGCTTCGATTCATCTCAGCTGGACGCTAGCATGTTCGACTTACAGAGCAAATGGCCAGTCAGAGCGGGCAAGCGTGCGCACCAAGTCCGGTCGGCTCGCTGCAAGCACATTGTAGACGGTGTAGGCCGAAGCAATGATGCACTTTCCCCCGGTGGCGGCGGTGCTTCGCGTCAGCCAGCTGATGATGTCGCCAGCCTCCTCGTTGTGGAACGTCTGGATCTCCCGGTCAATGCTTGCTCGTCCAGGCTGCCTCGCGGGCGCGCCGCAGTGCACCTACAATCGGTGCCGTCGAATGACGGTGATGATTGGCTCTCTCTCTGGACGAGTTGTCCGCTACGATGTGAACTGGGCAAGTGTCAGCGCCATGTCTTGGACAGGGAGCAGCAGACGACGAACCAAGCATGTTGCCCTTCTTGTCCTGGCGTCCTTGGCGGTTGGCGATGTAGCACTGAATTCCGAGGTGCAGCATGGTCAAGTCTTCGACCGCGTATCTCTGCGGATCCAGTCCTCGAATCAGCCCGAAACCTGTTCCATCATGGAGGTTCAGGCGGAATCTGTCTAGCCTGGGACCCAGGTTTGGCAACGGGAAGGACTGGCGCGACATGAGGTCGCCGTCGAGTCCCAAGGCTGTGACACGCCCATCAGCTGGGACCCCCGATAGAGGCTGGAGGGCTGTGCTACCTTTGAAGTGTTCCAAGGCTTCTTCAGCCTCCTTGATGTCCACGTCATTGAGACGAAGAATGAAGTCGGAGTGCTTGGCGAAATCGGTGCCCGCCCAAGCCATGGACGAATCCAGGACGTCCGGGAAGCCAGTAGGGAGGAGCGGTGCATCATTGACGGTGGGCGCAAAGGCCGTCGGCGCTTCCGAGAGGGCCCGTGGTCCGGCAACGGGGCCGGTGCCAGTGTACGCCATGCTGGAGTCGTTTCTAATCCTCGAATCAGTCTCGAAGCGCCCTTCGAACCGTCGTGGCCAACACTCACCGCTTGAAGGACTCAAAACGCTGCAGCCTGCCGACGAACTGAAAGTAGTTTTGCCCGGCCTGTGACGCAGTATGCTCCGACCCGATGGCTCGCAAGAGGAGTTGGGCGCAGGTATTTATGTTGGACCGGAGATGCGGCCAAGGATCAGGACGAAGAAAGATGTTGAACGGATGACAGGGTTTGCTTGCCGGTGCCCCCTTTCCCCGGGGCTCGCAGCAGACTGCTCCGTCTCTCGTTGAGACTTGTGCGAAACGATTTCGACATGGCGGCATGCAGGTACTCAATGACCCAGTGCCTTCGACACTCCACAAGTTTTCGGATACACCCGTGTCAGGGACGGACGCCACTTCGGCTGGATACATGCTGTCCTGCGTGCACACCGACATCCAAGCAGGGACGTCCTGACTGGGCGCGAGTACGGCGTTGCATGCGCAAGAGGTTGAGCGGCGAGCACAGGCAAGGGCTAACGGCCCAACCAGCGGCTGGGACTGAGACGGCAACGCGGGCGACGCTGGCAGTGTGTGCACAATCCGAGGCCAGATAAAGGGGCGACGGGGCTCTGACGACATCGTTACTTTGCCTTGACTGCGGGCACGACCCTTTGACGAAGGGACGTCGAGCTTCCAGGCCATGCCGGCCAGCCACAGCCCAGCTCCCGAGACTCGATTCAGACAGAATCGGAGCCGGTGTCAGAGGCGGATGCTGCCAAACACGGACACTTTGGTTTTGGCAAGTACGGGAGGCCGGAACCAACTAGCCCCAAGGATGCGCATGCAACGACGGCCGGCCAGCCAGCCAGCCAACGCGGCGACTGCGACGCTACCGGGCCCCGGTTGATGGGCGGCGAGGTGGACGGCTGCTTTCTTTTTCGCTTCCATTCCGCGTCTATTTCCTGAGGTGGCCCCCCATGCACACGCCCGTGTGTCCCCGTGATACCCCCCTTCCTTCTCCCGCCTCCGGGGCAACCTAGCCGGCGGCCCGGGGCCTGTTATACCGCGGTCCCCGAGGCGAGGAGATTGACGGAAGCACACGAGCACATGCCCGGCTTGTCTCCGCCCGGCTCACCGTGGCTGTCGTCGTGATGCCGTTGGTGCACGCGGACAGCTTTCTCGGTGTGTCTGGGCCTCAGGGCGAACAGGGGGGCCGGAGGGAGGAGAGGAGCAGCCGCTCCGACCCTTCTGCACGTCTGTGGATCCTGCCTGTCCGGGGGGTCTTGATGTTGGAACCGCCCCAGGCTCAAAATCACTTCAGGACCGGATTCTGGGAACGGGTCTAACCAATCCCCATGCCCAAGCGTTGGCGGGCGGTTCTCCATCGGGCAGGGGGGGCGACAGTCTTGCTCTCCGTCCCCCGGCGCCGGCGCCGCGTCCCCGTCGTCGACCCTGCGGCCTCCCGTCACAGGCTCGTGGGCGGCGGCAACCGGCTCGAGAGCCTAGTAGCCCGTCATCCCATCAGCCAGCCCGCCGCCACCCGAAGCGGGAGTGACGGTGCCGCCGCTCTTAGTACGCGACGACGACAGTGCAAGATACGTACATTGCGTGGCGCGCACCTGCGAGCATGTACGATGTACATACAGCACCGCCGGCCGATCTTTTTTTGGTTCTTGTTCTCCCCCCCAAGTTTGCGCGCCATGAGCGGTGACCCGTCCTGGGCATGCTTGCTTTTTCGAGAACCTCGGCGCCGAACGCGGAGCCCGGCGCCCTGGGTCCTGCGCAGAAGGTAATGCGCAGAAGGGAAACGAGACAAGCCGGCCATGTGAAAACTTGTCAAGATGCGCCAGGACGAGACAAGACACGTATCGCGACCCAATGCACTGCACGGTGCAGTCATGTGCCGTGTACGACGTCGACTGCCCGCCCCCGTCGACGTCTGCACCGCGCAGCGCATCTGGCTTGGGGTTGTGGGCGGCCGTCGGCCACTCCATGGACCTCCGAGGCATCACCGACGCAACAAGAGCAGTCGCGCTACGGAGTACCGACCGGCTGCCATCGAGTTCGGACGCGCAGTGAGGTAGCTGCAGCCTGCACTACCACCCATCCGCCCCATAGGCGAGATTGGCGAGACCGTTTAGCAGCCGGGCCTCTCAAGACCGGCCAGCGATGCCTCTCGCAATCTTGAAACAAGGTCCACGGGTCTGGGGGGGCGTAGATCGGCCGCCGACTGTTGTGTCACCCATGAGCTTGGTCTGCGTACCACGCCCTAAGGCTACGTACGATACTTCGTAGCATGGATGCATGGGCAGGCTTGCCTCCGACACCTCACACACGTCACGAGTCGGGAAAAGGTCCGAAGAAAGGGCCCCATCGCGGTCAAGCCCAGAGGCGCAAACCACAGACGGGGGACGAGGAATACGAAAAAGAAGATGGCGGATGCTCGCTTCCATGCTGGCTGAGATGCAACGTCCCGTGCTCCCTTGCGGCGGCCCGATCCCTAGGGTTTCGCGCGATCTGTGCATAGCAGGAACATGCCGCCCGAATCGAATACCGGTGTGAGCCGACCGGTGAGGCCTCGTCCTCCCGCATCATGCTCATACTCTGTCCGTCGCCACCACCGCCGCCACTCTCCTGCTTTGCTTCTGCAACGGATGGAACCCGCCGCCGCGGCCCACGCCAGTCCAGGCGTCCGCCCGATGGGGCATGCTAACGGTCGCCGTGGCTGACTGGCACTTTCACCGCTGCCCCTTTGGCCGGCCGGAGCTCATTATATCGTCGGTCGTGGCTTCCAATTCTCTTCAAACAGCTGGCTGACGAAAAAGAAATCCTCCTCGTACTCGCTCCTGTCCTTGATGTCCTCCCACTCCCGTCCTGCAAAGCGCCATGCATGCGTTAGCGCTGGCCCAGGAATCCGGTTGTTGGGAAGACGGGAACCTACGGTGTTGTTTCGCCTGCTGCTTGGTGGCGTGAACGAATTGGATCTCTTCGTCGCTCAAGTCCGCCAACGCCCGCAGATCCTTGTCCTTGCATTCGTCTGAGAATGGGTACATGCCCTTGTTGCAGTAGTGGAAGTGGGCGAGCAAAATGTTGGCACCTGCGCCCGCGCCGGGGGTTAGCCACCGTGTCGCACGGCGGGTGGGAAGGCTGTGTCTCACCCAGGTGATACTCTCTGACCTTGTCTTCTCGTGCAAAGCGGCGCTGGTACAACCCGCTGCGTCAGCCACAGGTACGGGAACTAAAGTGCGCGGTGCGAGGCCAAAAGCTAAGCTCACCTTTATGCCGTGTTTTCGAGCATACCCAGCATCGTGTGCTGTGATGAGGGCCGTGTTGTGCAACAGTATGAAAGTCACCAGGTACGTCACAAACCAGCTCTTCTGCTTATTCTTGAGCACCAGCTTCTGCAGGATCTCCAGCATGTCCCTGCGGAGCTTCGTCTGGATGTGGTGGATGAGCACAAGATCCAGCTGCGCCCCCATGACGGGAGGCATCGGGATCTTGCCCGCGCTCGGGCTCGTGTCATCCAGTATGTTGTTGGACATGCCTAGCGTCTCGTCCCCAACAATGAAACCCGACGTCGTGGAAAGACGAATCGACACCCACAATGTGAGAGTCAGCTTGATGAGCTTCGTGGCTTCCTCCTCCATGGATGGGTCTTGCATGAGTCGCACGGCCCGAAAGTACGTCTTGTACAACAATCCGTCGGGGCGGTCCAACACATGCCGAATGCTATCGTTCATGATGTCCTGAATGTGCAGCTCATACGCCGACTTGGTTGCCTCCAAGTCGACGAGAGCATACGGCGGGATGGCAGCAGATCTCCTTGTTCCTTGGTAGTCCCAAGTCCTCGCAAGCTTGTCGCCGTCTTGAGGAATGAACCTGCGAGCCTGAAGCTCGATGACCCTCCTTGAGAATCCAGCAGACACATGAATGATCTTGATATCGGACGAGGCCCATTTTTGAATGGGATCGGTGATGCTGTTCGTCCATCGACGCGTCCACTCGTACCCGGGGACTTGGCCCGGCTTGTAAAGCTTGATGTCCGTGATCTTGTACCTCAGACACGGAAACCGCCCTGCCTTTGTGTTTGCTACGTTGGCGCAGGTCAGGCATACGCCTCCCGGGTTCTTGGGATCCGACTCGCACTACATTTCGCGGTTAGCGTCTCGCTTGCTCTGGGCTGAGGCTCTCATGTCCAAATGCCAAGATGTAACTCTCTTCACCACGGGGATCCCCCTTGAGTGTTGGTGAGCACCTACGCGTATTCGCTGCATTCTGCACCTAATGCAGGATCCCGTCCGCCTTGTCTGCGCCGTTTGCTCACGAAGCTTGGCATCCTTGAACGGGCCTCGCTTGCCTCCGCCTCGCTGGTCGGGAAGCAAGATGTCAAAACTCGAAGGATGCTGAGGCTGCATGGGCGCTTCGTGCCAGCGCCCGGGCGAGACGTGGTCAGATGTCCGGACGGACACCATGCCGCATGGTGAGCTATCTACGCATCCGACAACCGTTTGGAAGGGCAAGGGCGAGGGAGTGAGAGGGTCAATGTAGTCATTGGTGCAAGCGATCAGTTGCGGGGGGTCAATATTACTCAGATAGTCCGGAACGTAGGCCACGGGGCTGACGACTTCGGCTTTCTGTGGGCCATATTCATTCGGCAGGTAATTTTGCGATAGCAGGGACTCATTCGCCGAATGGTGAGGCTGGCATCGTAGGGAGTCTGGAACCTCGCCTGTTTCTATGGGTCCGAATGTACCGTCACTCAGAGGTGGGAATGCTGCTTCCATGGTCTGCGACGGCAGGTTCATCGACGGTTGCTTTTCTGTTGTGTATGGCTGGCTCGAATCATATGCCGTGGTAGATGCCTCCACCAGCGGGGAGTAGCCTGAAAGGAAAGTCAGCTTTTTTTCATGAACACATTGAGGCCATCAATGGGGCGACAAAACAGGTGCCGCGTACCATCTCGCTGTTCCCACCCAAGCCCGGGGCAAGGGCAGAGAAAGAGGCTCAAGCTGGTCATCTGTCGCGCCAGGGGCGACTGCGCTGAAGGCAGAGCCGCCTCCGGCCAGCGCGACGGCATCGACGACTGGCTGCTTGACATCTGACTGAGAGATTCTAACTCGGAAGTCTTCTCGAAGGCATTTGACAAACATGGAACGACGCCTGGCGAAGACAAAGGGGTATAGGGCCCAAGGCGCCGTCGCTTTGCTGATGAGTGTGCCACAGGGGGGCCTTCATATGCTTCAAGACCGGAAGAGAAGCCAGTAGCAAAGCCATAAGCCGCGGGCAGTTGGTCGGGCACAGTTGGTATATCGAATTGAAGCGGTGCGTACGTGTATCCCGCGTTTAGTAGTGGGATAAACGACTGCAACGGAGGATCCGAGATGTCAACCTCGGCGCAAGACCGAGGTCGTTTGTTGATGAGCGGCTGATGAAACTCCTGCCTCGATAGTCAGCACATCTGGCTGTGCACTTGTGCAAGGCCGCGAATGATGGCCCTCCTGTGAAGAGTAGACAGCTTGGACAGCTTGGGCAAGGCAACGAGGGTCTCGAGCAAGCGGATACAGATCCACAGACTTGACGGCGAGAGTGGATGTGAGAGAAGTCAGACCGGGGATGGCTGACCGAAGGCCGCGGAAATGGCGGAGAGTTTACAGGGTTCCAGATGTGCAGTGGGAAGAGGGGAGGAAAGGAGGGCTGGTGATTTTATCTTTATGCAAGTTGCTGCGAGACAGGGAGGAAGAAACGGCGTCCTTACCATGATGGATGCAGGAAAAGAGGGTGCGTTGGACAAGATCGCCTGGGCAGAGTCTGAGACCAGGACCAAGGTACCGGCACGTGGGACGGAAGGTATTGAGTATACACGAGGGACAAGGGAGATCAGAGAGGTACAAGGAAACCGCGAACCTGGGAGCTGGGCTGCGAGCGCGGGTGAGGGAAGCGGCGGAGCCGGGGTGAGGTGTGTCTGTCGACCAGCTAAGGTTCCACCCGGACCATTGCCGGGACAGGCTCAGCCATGCGGCCTTGCATTCGGCTGGGGGTGTGGCGAGGGAGAGACGAGGTCAAGCGGGCGGGCGCTCGACACGGCGCGAGGAGCTCGCCGCTCGACGGAGACGGGAAGGAAGGCTGGTGCTGGTGCTGGTGGGCGAGCCAGGCGGAGACGGTGGTGGTCGTATGTATGTCTGGAGAAGAGCTAGCGGTGTTGGGCGTCAGGCTGAGGGGGGTCGGCCTGAGGGCATGAGGGGGTCGGATGACGCTCTGGGCTGGAGAGGCGGCTGGTGCGCGCGATCATCAACGCCTCGGAGACGCCGCTTGCAGGCAGGCTGGCACTCTTGTCTCCGGCTGCCGTTGCCGCGACAGGAGGGCGGCTGGGCGACGCTGGGCAGGTGCTCCTCGGGTCCGAGCTATGGCTCTGGGGTCCTGTGGATGCGGTGACTGCCGCTCAAGGCCGGGCCAGGATGGCGGGTAGCGCGGGCCAACGTCTGCGACGTCTCCCCGATGTGCATACGCGCCCGGGCTGTCGAGTGGCTGCCCGGCAGGATGGCGGGAGAGAGGCGACGATGGTCGAGTTCCTTGGGAGGGAAGAGGCGACCTGGCGAGGCACCGCGGAGAGCGACTGACGTCCATTTGCGCCCCGTGCTGAATTGTACAGTATTCGAGCGGACTGAGGGGTACTCGCGGACCAACAAGAGCAAGGGGTGTGTGGGTGGCCGGCCATGCGCTGCGCTGCGCGGCTGGCCATCGTCGCCCGTCTCTGCCTCGCATCGCCCTTGTTGCCCTTGGGCTGCACCGAAAAGGGCATAAACGTGGTCATGCCCCTCGGGCCGGCCCATTGCCCGGGGGTGGGCTGATGCAAGGGATGGCATGAGGCCTGCCAACGACTTCTCCTGAACCCCAGACTTCCTTCATCTGCCCAGGCAGGCGTTCGCACTCTGGCGCCCTGCCATTCTTTCTTGCCGTACCTTGCGCCCTCCGGCAACGGGAGCCAGACTGTCCCGCGTTTTGGTTTCCATCAGACGGCATTGCCAGAGAGCATGGCGCGACGCATACTGATGCCCAACTTGGCAGCACCAGGCGGTGGGTGTCCAGCCTGGCGGCGCCTGGTACCCCAGTCTCCATTCGGGGTAAATGGGGAAATTGTGCGAGGGTGACGCAGGGTTCCGGGCTTCCAGTCACGCCTCCGGGGGCGGCACACGAGTAACTAAATGAATGATTCTGTGGCGCAATCACAACGAGTGACCAAGTGCCCCAGCAACGTGGTATAAAGGCGAGCGTGGCCTCCAGGCATTCGTTGCCACGCGACGGGCAGGCGAGCCACGGCATTGTGAGTCAAATCACGAAGCCGACGGTTGGAAATGGCCAATGGCGTGCATTGCGCGCCCTGCCCTGGAACGCCTCGCACAACAGGGCATTGACGAGGTCGGCCGTTTGGAAGCGGCAACAGGCCCGCGCCGATGACGGACCATGTTGATGCGACGGGGTCGCTCTATCGTGGCCCCGGCGTTGAAGCTTGCGTCTGTGTCGAGGCATCCAGTGTCGATGGACGGAGGCTGCACGGCAAGCAGCCAAGCATCTTAGCCCAGCTCCTGTGCTGCAAGCGCAGCTTGCCAAATTGGAGCGACGGCGTGGGACGGCACGCAAGGCACAAGGGATGCTTGAGTGCGGGGACCGGTGAGAACAAGGGACCAATGCGCGTGTGATGCAGACTGGGTAGCCGACCGATCGTCGCACGGCTCGCAGGACTCGGTGACAAGGGACGCTTCGCTAACCCCACGGTCGCGACTTTGGCTGACCGGAGCTAAACAACCGCTGCGCCCAGCGTGCTGGGTGCGGTCTACTTCCTCTTCGAGGACAGTCGTATCCTGACATGTGCCGCGATGGAGCTGTGCAAGAAGTCGAGTCTGGTGGTGCTTGGTCTGTGAGCCGTGGAATGACGACATGGGCAGTTGTCGAGGTCGAGTCGCGCCATGGGTGCCACCCCGGCGGGCAAGTGCTTACTGCCATGGCGTTAGCAAGTCATCCAGCTTACACCGGTTGGCCCGTGCCATTCTTCATGGGGGAGTCGGACTCGCATCTGCGGATTTCGCGGCTTGGGTATCAGGAACCGCGTTTGGTGCAGTACCGCCGTGTATGTGCCGCAGACCTACGTGTCAATGTACTCGGCGAGACTCAATCGTGACCATGCAGGTCGGGCAGGAGGCAGTTCGAGCTGCGCTTCTTGGTGCTGCCCGGCCCCACGGGGCTGCAGGGGTGGAGGTGGTTTTCTCCGGTGGAGATGGCTCTCCATGACCCCCGTCTCTGCCACCCGCCATGTCCAAGGAGGCAAGTCAACTCGCTGAAGCGGACTCCGGAGGTGCCAAAGGTCGGGCGGTGGAACAGGGGAGAGACTGAACCGCGTGCGCGGCTGCATGTCGGATGCTATGCCTCGACCATCGCTTGCGTGGATGAGAAGTGAAGTTGAAATTGGCGAGATGTTGTTGGGCGGCCGTCGTTGGAAGTCGTGGGGCGGCGGGCGCGGATGGCGACAAGGTTCACGGCTGAGCAACACGGCCCGTCGAACCTGGCAGGTACGGTGGAGCACTGGGGCCGGGAGACTGGGGCAGGAGAGACCCGTTTCTGGCTCCTGCCCGTTCCTAGTCCAAACTCTAAGTGGCCTCGTGTCTCGTCGGCGGTCGCAACTTCTCTGCTTGGCCTACCCACGAAATAGGAGGCAGGTACGAGGGGCCCGTACGCATACACTTGGTACCTTGGTTGTACTTTGTACCCATATACGCAGGACGCAGTACAGCACGAAACACATGACAGTGCCATTAGCGGGCACGCGCAGTTGCTCGACCCAAGAAGGCCTGGCGGGACTCCTGAGCCCGGTGCGAGACGCTGCCATGGCTAGGTATCAGAGCCCTACTGCCCTACGACCCAGGTTCAATTTCTCTGGAGAAAGCAACTGAGGCGCCTGAGGTCCCTGCCGAGTGCACAGAGTACTGCCAAGTACACAGTATTGCCCCGAGAAGTCAATATGCGGCACTGGGCAGCCGAACGGACCAGACGTCCGCGCCGCCTCCAAGATGGAATCCCAGATGCCCCGGCTCGCTCCGTCTTGCTACCTACACGTCCCGAGCCCGGCTGCTCACGCTCCAATGAATCTGAGACATCGACCATTCAGCCCATTTCACTCAAGCACGCGGCAAACTGCCTGCGATGGCCGCACGAACGCATGCGCATGCAAGAGCTGGAGTCTCAGCGCACGCGCGGTGGGGCAGGGCCGTTGAGTCGTCGTTGCAGACGGCGGCGGCTGTCGGTCGCCCGCCTCGCCTTCAACCACTGGCCCGTCCCATCGCCCTGACCTGCGGGTAATGTCGAACCCTCAGCTCAGGTGGCACAGGGCCGTTCTCTGCCGCACATGTGAGTTATTGATTCACCACCGTGCCACCCATGTCATCGTGCGCTGCTGAGTGTGGCCCAGCATTCGCCCCAGCCAGGGCCGGCCTATTGAGACCTGAGAAGTGGCACGGTCCGAGCCATGTTTCCGACTCACACTCGAACCGGCATATGCGCCCAGCAGGTGGCTGCCTGGAATCGTAAGCACGAGTGTCGGCCATGCTTCCAACCCAGCCAAGTCAGCTCCGTTCCCAGCGGGGTGTTGCCGGTCCCCGCAAACGTTACCAGCGGGGCGCCTGGTGCATGAGCAGAGTTCTCGAACCGTTCCACGAGCGCGGAGCCACCAAATACATACGTTTAGACACATACATGGGCACACACGGGCTGACCGGGGTGCTGAGCCAGCTCCTGCGCCGTTTCTGGCGCAATGGCGATGGGGATGTGACGGGAACCGCCTTGGCTTATTGGAGGCTGGACCGGTGAGGGCTCGGCCGAGGTTACACGAAGAGCCGGGTGACATGCCGGCCCTTCTCCTTCCCCCTGACCCCCTTTCCGGGAAACGGGTTGCGCGAGTCGGTCGGCAGCATCAATGAGACAGTGGCGCTGGACTTCTCATGTGTCCACGACCAAGGTCCGCGGCCATCCGGGTCGTGATCTCGAGGCTGATGCGCCACGTACCCTGGGCCCTCACCATCACGTCCTGGTACCGGCTCGAGTACTTGCAGATTCGCCTGGGTACTTGGGCGCATGTACTCCACATTCGGCACGACTGCCTGCTCCTTGGGGAGTGTACGTTGAAACTGCGACTTGCGCTCAAGAGTACTCCGCACTTGGGCCCCGGCATCGCTTGCCAATGTCGACTGAGGAGGGTGGGCTACCCAAGTAGTGCGGGATCCTGGAGGCGCAAGGTGACCAGGAGCGGTCGCGTCAGCGCGAAACAACGATATGCCGTTCCAAGACCTATGCGTTGGTCGTCCTGTAATATATCAGGCACACCGTTTCCAGTATGCGAATTTGGCCGCATCAGAGACAGGTCGGACGTGGTTGATGCGCCGATCCGTCCATATCCTGAGCGAGCTCCCACCTCCCCCAGAAGATGTCGGGCATGAGCGGTCTCTAAGCTCCATCGGCTTCTTCAACGCAGCTCGCCTCCTGGCCGGGCAGCGACAACGTTCAACTCAGTCTCGAGCCGACTCGGCGTTTTCGTTTTGTTTGTGGTCCCGCCAGACAAGAGGCGCCCCCTCGCAGCCTTGCCCGTGTAACCCGATCGCGACCATGTGACTTTACGGCTTCAGCAAGCGGCGGTCAATACTTCGCACGACGGGTCGGGTTTGGATGCCCCCTGGGATAAAGACGACGGCAAAGATTGCCGACAAGCCGCGGGACAGGCTCAACTCGACCCTCCACTAGTCGTTTGGCTGCATACACGGCCGGTCGAGAGATCCCACCGGGCAGTGGCTTGACGACAAACTTGCAAAGACATGTTGCACAGCGCGACCACGATTTACACTCAGTGCACAACGCACATGGCGCCCCAAATAGGTCAGAAGAGGTACGCGGCGGACGAAAGACTGCCTCGCGAGGGCGGCCGAGCGAACGACGTGCGCTCCGGGCCGAAGAAGTCGAGCCGCGCCTCGTCGCGACCCAGACAGCCATGGTTACGACTGTGGGCACGATCCAGCAAACCACATCGAGGCGCCCGAACACAATAGGAAGACAGCTTGACGGCGGACAAGCACGGCTGCTGCCGCCTTGGCTTGTCATTCGGCCACTGCCTGAGCAGTCGAGTGGTAGTCTCACGGATGCAGGGCCCAATCATGTGATCAATCACGACCCCCCAATGCGCTCGTCTTGTCCCGGCGGTTGCGCATTCAGCCCCGTCCCAAAGACCCATGCATGCATCATCCATGCAGCTGCTCATCGCCTCCTCCTCAGCGCCGCGACCCGTGCCGCTTGCGTTGCCCGCAGCCTTCAACACACCACGCTTAGCACCCGCGTCTCGCTTTGCTGCCTGGGCCCCCGCGAGGCATCGTCTCGCGAGAGAGAGAGGACAGTGGTTCAAACAACTAGAGGAGCGATGGGATCAGTTCAAGATCTTTGCGCCTGAGTCCGACAACGCAAGGCGGCACGCGAAACAAATATTCCCGCGCGGCAGGATACGTTTGAACTCGTCGTTTCGCCGCCTTTGCCCGCGAAGCAAGGCCTAGGAGCATCATGGAGTTGAGCCAGCAGTCTATTCACGATGTCATTCATCCCACCGCCGCCTTCTCCGATGTGGCAGCCAATGTCGCAGCCGCACCAACGGGCCCGCCGCTTCACGTTTCTTGGCTGCAGTCTTCGCTCAATCCCAAGAATCGCATTGACAGCCTGGATGTACCAGCCCGCCCTCTGTGGCGGATCGACGGTTGTACGGCCTTTGGTACCCAAATTTACGCCGTGCCGCTCTTCTTCGACACTATCCGGCCGTATCGAGTTGACGTCTTTATTCCCGAGCCGGCAACCGTTCCTCAGGATCTCCGCAAGACTCTGGACCTCGACGTGACCTTCTACGTTCGAGATGGGTCACGCATTGCCCAGCTGGGCATCACGCGCCACGTTCTTCGAATTCTGCAACACTGGACCAAGACCCTGAAGACCCCGTCAGACATCTACAAAGATCTGCCTTTTGGCTCCAGAATCGTCCTGCATAACTTGCCCAAGAACGTCGCCGAGGCACGCATCTCCGTCGCCCCGACGCACTACCTGGAACGCCAACTGCTCTCAGCATCTGCGCTGCAAGAATTCTGGGGGGACGGCCTGCATCTACCTGCCACTGTCGACCTCGAAGATGTGGAATACCTATCGCAGCTTCATGACAGCGTTTGCCTGGTCAAGATCGACGGTCGAACCTGGATCTTCAAGGCCCTGACCAGCTACACCAAGTACCTGTACCACGAATTGAGGCAGCTCTTGGCCATGCCGCCTCACCCGAATGTGATTGCACGCCCGGTCCACCTGGTTACCAAGAGATGCAGCTTCGGGAACAAGGTTGCCGCCGTTGGATTTACCGTAGAAAACCACGTCCACGGCAGCTTGCGAGATCTTATCCCTTTCCTCCAGGTGCATGGCAAGGTGTCCCTGGATGACAAGATAAAATGGTCTGTTCAGCTGGCCTCGGCCCTCGTGCATCTCCGGGAGACGGCGGGCATATTCTACCCAGACCTACGGCTCGACAACATCGTCCTTTCGAAGTCATGGGACGCTGTTATGATCGACTTTGAGCAGCGGGGCGTGTGGTGCGAATTCGCGGCGCCCGAGGTAAACGCCATCGAGTACATCCGGCTCCTGGCCGTGGACGAAGACATTGACCCGGACATCCAAGCAAAGTATTCCGCCATGCTCGACGAGCTGCTTCCCGGATGGGAAGACATGGGCGAGGGCGAGGAGTACATGTGGCCCTCGAAGGGCTACAACGTCCCGTGGTCGTGCCTCTCGCAGAGGGAACAGGAGGCGTGCGAGGTCTACATGCTCGGGCGCGTGCTCTGGTGCATATTCGAAGCGAGCAGCGCCCCGCAGAGGGCCGCCGTGTGGCTGTCGTACCGCTGGGAGCCCCTCGTCGAGTTCCCCGGCTACACGACCACGCCCCAGCCGATCCGGGACCTCATCGACCGCTGCACGCGCGGCCGGCAGCCCGGGCTGACCAAGTACATCGTCCGGGAGCGCGACCGCCTGGTGATGCGCGAGCTCGAGAACACGGGCAGGTCCACGGCGCGACAGGTGCAGGAGACGGCGCGCGACTGGTGGGCGGCCGAGATTGAGGCGTCCGAGACGTGGCTCCGGGCCAGGGCCGAGGGCATGGCGAAGGGCGACTGGAGCGAGAACTACTACGACCGGCCGAGCTTGCGGGAGGTCTATCAGGCCCTCGAGGGGTTTCGCGCAAGCAAAGGCACGGGTTCTTGAGTCCTTGACCCGGCATTTCTCTCGCGCCTCAAACCAGGCGAATAGTTGCCATGGCAAGGCCCGGCGGCGGCGCAAAGAGCCAGACTCGTTGTCTCCATGGGTGGGTTGCATAGCGGGTACATGTAGGGCAGGCAAAGACTGCTTTCTTTCTCAATGGAATTGGAAATCATATTGTTTCTGCCCCTAATCATCCACCACTCTATAAGAGAGAACGCGGACCCCGCGAACCACGGCCCGTTGTTCGGCAGGCTCTGCCTGTCGGGGGGAGGACCTCCGAGTGTGGCCTCAGGGAGATCTATAAATCAAGGGGGTATGCAGTGAAGTGCCCGTCTTTGTTGTGTCTTGTGTGTTACAATTCCGCGACGAACGGGGCACTCGAAAGATTGGCGGTTCGGGATCGCACACGGCCAGCGCATGCAGCGGTGTCGCAGGTGTCCATCAAAGCTTTGCCCCCGATGGGCGTCATGGCAAAAACAGAGAGCGGCCCAGCTTTATCCTTGCAAAGCCTGTCACCGCGTCTCTTCCGGCTCACTTCATCCTCTTGGACCCTCGCTGAGTCCCCTGTGATCCCTCTGTGCCCCTCTTCAAGCCCGCGCCGGCCGTCGACGTCCTCAACCTGGACAACAACGTTCGAAACTTCTCCACGTACGTCGCGGGCGCGCCATACACTCCAATCTGGTCGTGAAGAGCGTCGAGGCGGTGCAAGAACTGGCTCGCGGCCTCAGGGAGAAGATTGAGCTGGTCCAAAACAAAGCCAGTATCGCGGTCGCCGAGCAAACACAAATAGAGATTGCGGGCACGCCGCGACTCGCCCTGGCGGACATCGTGGTTGCGGGCAACAACCGCCTCGAGTATGTGAACGAGGGTACGGGCGGCAGACAGAGCTTCGCGAGGTTCAAGAGGTCGGTCACGAGTATATATGGCTGAGTTGATAAGCTTAATGCTGCCAACGATGTGTCGTGCCGCCCAGGCGACATCTGTGGGAGATTCATCCGGCCACGGTGTAGAATTTGCGGCGTAGAATGCATCCAAGGTCTGCAAAATGCGGTCTACCCGTTGGGAAACTTTGCGAAAGGGATCGTTGATGGGATCCGTCGAGCGAGACAGCGAGAGGAAGTATTGGAAGAAATGATGGTCATCGAGGAGCATCCTAAAAACGGTGCAGTCGAGGTCATGCCTCTTCACCACCTTCCGCCCAGGCCTCGGGCTCGTAAAAATATCCGGCCGGAAGTCCTCGGGCTCGACATCGTACACAGACGAGAGGAGCTCGCGAGACTCGATCGTGCGGTGCGCATCCAATTCGTCGCCAACATCTGGATCGACAACCTGGCAGTGGAGTGCATCGGCCAGGACGTCGAGATGACAATCTGCGATGGCTTGAAAGGGGTCTCCCATCTCCTCGGCGTATCCTTCTGCGGTCATTGTCAATGGCGTTTCCGCGCCGTGGTCGTACAAGGTTTGTTTAACGACTTGGTCCATGAGCCAGACGAGGTGCCTGCATGGAGTCTGATCTTCGCCACATGTGCAGGACAAATCTGGCGAGCTGCCACTGCTTCTGCTGGGCCGGATTCGGATTGACCTCGTCACGAGCTCTGTCATTTGAAAGGCGTACGTGTTGTTGATTCTGCGGCAGCGTTGCAGTGCTATCCTTGGAGGCTCACTGAAGACGTCCCGCACAGAGTGGCGGCTCTGCTCCGAAAGCTGGTCGAGGTTGTAGATGAGGTTGGTTGGTGACTTGGCGAATGCAGAGGGCTCTTCGTACTCATCGTCGTCTTCAGAGTAGTCGTTGTCACTTTCCTCGTCGGAACTGGAGAGGCTTTCGCTCAGGTAGTTGCTGGGAGCTGCTTGACTGGCCATCCTGGTCTGTGCACGGGTTGTCGGAGGCATCTCCTCGAGAGAGAGGCTGCTTAGTTTAGAGATTGGTGGCGACATTGGGTTCTTTCCAAAGAAGGCAGAGACTAGGAGACTAGCCAAGGGCGGATGCCACGACTTATACGGGATGGCTGTATATGCAGCCGTGAGCGTGGCTGTAAGCAGGAGAGCCTTGGACTATTTAACCAAGACAGACACTTCCGCCTCGGGTCAAGGCCAGAAGAGCTCGCCATGATTGGGGGGTCTAACAAAGGCGCGGGACAGCCCGAAACGTGTTGGCCATGGCCGCGAGGGAGGGTAGAGTGGGCGGACGGACAGTGAAGACGCTGGAGGCTGCCGAGAACGGGCGGAACGTCACGAAGGGTCATCACTGGACAAGGGCCGGCAGTTGATGGGCGTCGACGGCGTCGTTGGATCCACGTCGAGTTCGCACGACGAAGGCTCCAACCAACGGCCACGCCCGTGGCTTGGTGGTCAAGCGAGAGCAACAAGACGAATGGCAATGCTTGAGCTCTGACACCTTGGCAAGGTAAGTGGACATAAATAGACCCGGTACATAAGCAACGGGGGCCCGCCCCGTTGGAGAATTGAGGCTGTGGAGGCCGACTCGTGAACGTCGATATCATTGTGCAGGGAGTCTGACTCCAGAAGTCGCACAGAGCAACGGGCTGGGTTCCGAGCTGCCGAACGCGGGGCCGCCCTGGGTCATGTTGGGGCCCGTCTGGCGAAGTCACTCCGACAACATGATGGACGCAAGTGGACGAAACCTTGCCAGGGCCGGACATGGCGAGGCAGCGTGGCCGCATGGCGCGGTCGAGCGGGTCGCCGCCGCCCTGCGTTGCGGAGTGCAGGTGAGGCCGTTGCCCTCGGCCCTGGCCCCCGACGACAATGATGATGCCTGGCCCTCACAGGAGAAGGAGATGGAGGCACACTGAACGGAACCGGACGCCGCCTCCACGTTGGCCATGCACACAAGCGGGGGCTGTTGGCGCTGAGCTGTTGTCGCGCTTGACGACGAAGCTCTGGACTCTGGACAAGGTCGGGCGCGAGGTGGCTGAAGCTCTTCCACCACCTGCAGGGGCGACCAACCCCGGGTCCGCATGCTTCTGGGCGCAGGCAAGCAACAGCTGTCCAACATGGACGTAACTTGTAAGTCGGGCGAAACGTGGTAAAAGCCCCCGCAAAGGACGACAGGGCATGGCTCGTCGGGGGGAGTGGCTGGCTGTTGGGTTAGGCCATCAGGTGCCAGTAAACGAAGTAGTATCGTCAAGGGTGGAAAGCTGCCAAGTTGGCCCCAGTCATGCTGCCCTCACCTTGCAACGGCGGCGCGGGAGTGAGCATCGCGCTGTTTGCGGCCGTCTGCGTGTCTGCCTCGAAGGCTCCTCTGGCAAAGTAGATGCTGACCGAATGCGCCTCAGCCATGGCCGCCGCAGGAGCCGTTGCGGCCAAGGTCAGCGCACCTAGCAGGGCAGGGATTCGATGGGACGCAACAGGCGGCGATCGAGGAGCCGTCGATGCGGAAAGGCGCCGCCGGCCAGGGCAGGCCGCACGCGAAAGGCCGATTAAGCGCGGACGGCGGGCGAAGTTGCAAGGACAGGCTCGAGGATGGTCGTGGACTCGTGGGGGCGGCTCACGGCTCAGCCACTCTGTCACGGGGGCTCCATGCACTGTACCTAGGTAGGCTGTTGGGCAGAACATGGACGTAGCAGGCGAGACTGGAGCCCGCTTTCCATGGGCGGGCGAGGTGCTTTCCAACCTGGGAGGTCCATGCTCTGCTCCGCTCCTGCCGACAATCGTGCCCGGGTACTGACTACGTACCAACTAGGCAGGAAGCATGGAGGGCTTGCTCCGTTATCTTGGTTGTCAGTCTCCAGCACACCGAGACGGAAGGCGCAATGGCCCCGGGTGTGGCCGTGCCCGCCGTGTGCCACCAGCGCCAGCCCCAGAACCTTGAGAGCGCCATCGGGTCCAGACGGCATTTCTACATCGGCTCACCCTATCTTGTAGCAGTGCTCACTGTTCTCACTTGTCGTGCCCGTCCAAGCACTAACAATTACACCAAAGATTGTAACCAAGGTGCCATTTCTACAGGACGCAAGCCCTCCGTCCTACCTGTGCAGTTCAGGTACTATTCTTATCGGACAACCAGCAATTCCGCCAGAACTAAACACAGAGGCTGGCTGTGTGGGCAGGATCCACCTCACCGGGACAGGCGCCGGCCACTGCAGTCTACCGCCGCCACCACCACCGCGACCTCAACCGCCACTGCTTGTTCCACTCTGCACGGCCACCGAGACCGGCCGCTTCTGCGACCACCACACGCCCGATCTGAGGCCATCGTAGCATACCAAGGCAGGCCAGGCAGAGGAAAACTCAAAATCCCTCTGCCTGGCATCCTGCCTGGCCGCCAAGTTGGGCCTCCTTCCATGAATTACCTCCTCGCCTGATGTCTTCGTTCTGTCGGGTCTTCCAATGCTACGTTTAGAGCTTCAGCACAGCGGACGCAGCCCGGCAAGGCATTCTGGCTTCACCGATGCGACTGCTGGTCGGCCTTACAAGTACCGTGCCAGCCATCCGGCTATGGCCGGGCCGCAGTGTCCAACGATTTCGCACAAATCATGCCATCTGTCCATGGGCTCCTCCGGTCAACTTCCCTTCGCCATCATCCTCTCAAGTGGTCTCGTCTGATGGTCCTGCCGTCTGTCGAATGGGGCAAGCGAGCGTTCTGGTTGCCTTCTCATAGCCATCTTCAGGAGTCACATGCGTGGTATGTACGGAGTACCTCGAACGTCATGACACCAGCGCCCGTGAATGCGCCACGGCCCATAGGCTCGAGCCGTGCCGCACCGCCATCGAGTCAAGTCCCCTCCATCTCGCCATAAGCAGTGATCGTATCTGCCCGGCGGCTTCGGGCCGGGTTTACAGCCGCCCACAAGAGCCTTCGTCGGCGAGTCGGCAGCGGACCTTGTGCAGCCTCAACGCCAAAGGTCCTCGGCTTCGCCACTAGGCAAACGTAGTTCATCCATCAGTCAATGTCGCAAAGCCACCGCATCATCTACATTGTCGGTCAAGCCGAGCTTTCAGGCCTTGGGCAACGGGCCATTCTGAAATTCACAAGGCCACACTCCCAGTTACGCAGTCACCGGTCATGAGACAGCCAAGTCGATAAAACAGTAGTTGAGATTGAACGGCTCGTATCGTAGGTGGTAGCGTCTCTCAGAATCAAACCCTGCTGCAGGCAAACCCCCTGATCGTTTCTCCGAATCGTATTAAAACAATCGCAAAAAAAAAGAGCAAAAAAAGAGTTCGTAGTGACTTGACGTATCGTCACATGTTGCGGTTTCCCTTCTCAACCATTGTCACAGCCCCGAGTGCTCTCCTGGAATGGTGTTTCCATCGGCACCCTGGCGTCACAGCAACAGGAAGACTGCGTTGGGAGCCCTGGTCCAATAAACATCAGATCCGAGCCGTCTGCATCCTTGGTCAGGAAGCAGCCTCGAGGGGGCACGTGGGCAGCGCCTAGGCGCACGACTTGATCGCCGTCTGGCCGCCTTCGGCAAAGCGAACTGCCCTCGTGCCGGCATGCCCATTGGTGGCCGGGTGGCCGTGAAGAGGCGGCGTGCCTTTTCGTAGAATCGTCTTTCGATCCGGCGACGAAGCCTGGCGTGATTCAGAAAACCGGCCCGCAGACAAGGATGACTTGTCTTGCAGGCTGTCCACAGGCCGGTCGGATTGTCAATCGATGCCGTGCTGCTTCTTGAGCTGAGCTAAAGATTCGCGGCGAGCCTCGAGGTCCTCTTTTGACTTGGCCATCTTGTCGGGCTGGTGGTACAGAACTGGAGGCGCGTTAGCGACGTGGGATCCCGGGTAGCCATGCATGCATGCACGTGTGCATGCCCAAGTACGTACCGACAAGGTAACGGTTCTGGAAGTTGAAACCGTTGAGCTTGTCGCAGGCTTGCTTTGCGTCCATCACATCCTCATAGACCACGAAAGCCGTTCCCTTGGTCGTGTTGGAAATGCCCTGGCGTACTTGGCTGCAGGAAACGGTAAGCAATGGGGTTTTGGGGCTCGTTGAGGTCGATGGAAGGCCTACCGAATTGGGCCGAACTTTCCAAAGAGGTCGAACAACTCCTCTGGAGTAACGTTGTAGCTACATCGATCACGGTCAGCTGGGAGGGGTTCGGGGGACCGCAGGTGGCCAGGTCGGCGAAAGTACCTCAAGTTCTTGACGAACAGAGCTCTGCAGCAATGGTTAGCGGGCCTGATGCGACTCATCGGAGACAACGGACGAGGCTCGGACGTGGGGGGCAAAAGCACCGCGCCCGAGACGCGCGACCTCAAAACTCACCGGTTGACTTCGGGGGCAAGTTTCCCGCCGCGACTACTCATCTCTTGGATGATTTCGGTGACGATGATGGGGACTCGGGGTAGGGGTGGGAGGCGAGCGACACTGACGGTCGGAGGTGTCAAGGTTGATGGGAACGAGAGCCAGGCCGGGACGCAAACGAGTGAGAGAATCGATTGGGGGGGGACGAGCCGGGACGCGGTTAGTCACGTGATGGAGGTGGGGCGCTGTGGTTGGTTCGTCGGGCGAAGGATGTCGTGACGAACGGACCACGTCAGTTAAGCGGGCAGGGCCAAACGCAGCAGGAGCGCTAACAGGCACTAGCTTGGGGGAGATAAGTGTGCAGCGAACGACGGCAGCGAAAGCTGGGCCACCAAGGGTCCACGTGGTCTGCCGGCGTCAAGTCGCGGATGATGTGCTCACTTAGCACTTGCCGATTGTCGCCGTACGTGCCGTGCTGGTGGTTCACGAGTAGTTCGTCGCACCGCAGAGGTTGCAGGCGGAACGAAACGGAGCCGTCGTGCCGAGTATAAATGCAAGTCGCAGCTGCAGAACTCCTGCCGCTGGTCTCGGCACCGCCGTGCCTGGCGATCGCAGGAGCGCCCTCGGCGGGAGATAAGGAAAGACGGGACGGAAGGGTGACGCCGGCCAACACCCGCGGGCGCGCGGGTGATTCACTACCGTGGCGTGCGGGTGCCACCCTACAGCCGACGGGTCGTCACTATGCCTCCTAAGAGCACGAAGTAGGTTGGACACGGCATGGCTCCTTGGCAGGTTGCTGCTCGGTCCTCGTTCGTACATTGGCCCTCCATGAGGGTATGTCTCCCAACTCCCCGCGGGCCTCACAGAGGTACCATTTACACTTCGAGGGGCTCAGGTACAACGGGCCTCCAACCTTAAGGTTGCAAGGTTGTAGATTGAGTTGCCGGCAAGGTTACTTGCATCGCTGGAATGCACGAGCTGTTCCAGGTACGAATGGATACATGGGCCGTGATATCGCTGGCTTGCGGCTTACCCGACCCATCCTCCACAGCTCTCGGCAAGTTGCGCCGTGCAGCCATTTCAGAATTCACTGCTTCAGTGCACTTGCGGGGGACCCACCTCCGCGCCGCCATCGTTGCTAGCAATGTGTGGCGCGCCAGCCAGGCGGTTGCCGTCCCGTATCGAACATCAACCTTCAAACGGCTACTTGCTGCCTGCCGCTCTAGTCACCGTGAAAACTGCAGACTGCATCGACGCTCGCTTCGGCGTCCATTCCGCACTGCTGCCATTCACAGCTCCTCCCGTCTGGACGTCGGTGCCATGCCAATTTTTGCCATGGGCTTTCATGCCCTGCTGTAGCGTTGGTGGCTTGACGGGAAGCACCGCTTGAACGCCCAGAGTGTTCACCGTTCATTACATTTTCCTCCGACATCTTTCGTTGAGTTAAGCGGTACCTCATGGCGGGCTCTCTCGGCGAGAGCGCCCTGTCCGTCTTTGACGTCTGGGAAGACGCTCGGGACTTTCTGGCAGCCGTCTTTGATTCGAAAACCATTCCCGAGAACGAGCGACAAAGGCTCCTCGGATTGAGCCTCATCACGGGAGCTCAGAACTGGCATTCGTCCATTGAATGTGCGGGCTCGATTCGACGCAAACATCCGCATGATCCGACAAGCCTCGAGGGCAGCGACATCCTCACATACTTGGCATTCATCGTGCCTGAAGCACCACAGTGTGGTCCTCCATCCTCGCAGCCGTGGCAAGAGACCGACCGCCTCATCGCTCACGCCAAGTCGCTGGAAACGCAGCCATACATCGGAACTCCGCCGCCTTTGTCATCTCGTACTTCGTCTGCCGAAAAAAGCCAAATTCGTCGTTCAAAAAAGCAGCCCTCGAAATCACGGCACACATCTCACTACTGGCACGAAAACGACACGCCACAGCTGTGCCCCGGGCCACAACACGCTCACGGGGCAATCTATCCAGAGAGGCTCGTTGCCGAATGGAGGAGACGACACAGTGTCGGCCAATCACCAGACGCCCGGCTGGCCCAGCTCAACAGTCTTGATAGCAGCCAAAGGTTGGGCGGTTGGGACACCAGTGACTTTGTCAATGGCACGTCAGCCGGCTACTGGTCTACGCAGGTCATCACGGGACCGCATGGCCAGTTCGTGTCTCCGTACTTCTCGGCACAAGCTCAAGGACCGCCGAAGCGTGCCTTGGCAGGCAAGGTGTCGTGTGTCCCCTTTCCGCCTCTGACAGCGCCGGCTTTCGGCATCGTTCAGGAACGAGTCGCCCATGAGCCTTTCTGGCTCCTGATTGCTGTCACGTTCCTGATCAAGACAAGCGGGCAGTTGGCGATACCAACGTTCAACAAGGTCAAGGAGCGGTTCCCCACGCCTCTTCAACTCGCCAATCCGGCCAACGCTGAAGAGCTCGCTGGCATGATTCGTCATTTAGGCCTCTCGGCTGTGCGAGTTGGGTACATCCAAAAGTACGCAAGGGCATTTCTCGACAACCCACCGCGGCCGGGTGTACGATATAAAGTTAGAAACTACGATAGGCGAGACGTCGGGCGACCGTCCGTGGGCACCGAGAAGCCTCCGCAGTGGCAGAGCACAGACCGCCCTCGGCCCTCTGCGAGCGATGACGATGCGGACGCGTGGGAGATTGGACACATGACCCAGGGCAAGTATGCCATTGACAGCTGGCGAATCTTCTGCCGCGACGCGATGCTGGGTCGAGCAGAGGATTGGAACGGCGGCGGCCGCGAGCCCGAGTTCCAGCCTGAGTGGATGAGGGTCATGCCGCAGGACAAGGAGCTCCGCGCCTTTCTGAGATGGATGTGGATGCGCGAGGGCTGGGAGTGGGATCCCGCAACGGGCGATCGCATTGTCCTGAGTGAAGAGCTGAGGAGCGCCGTGGACGAGGGCAGGGTCGAATATGACGAGACGGGAGGGCTGCGCATCCTCGACGAGCCTCGTGGCTTCTGAGGCGGATGACCAAGGCGTGGTATGATGTGTTGGGCTACGACGGAGTACGGAGCACATGTCGTTGTAAATTGGTTGGATTTGAAGCAGGCTGGCTTCCCTACCCGGACCATCCGTCCCGCATGGCCGTCTAGAAAAGATTTCGCAGGGTTTTGGCGCCGCACGGGCATCCCCTCGAGCACGAAGAAACAAGCACTGTCCGTCTGTTGCCAGATGATGGTGTCGAAGGAAGGGATGGGACAAGCAATGTTGAGGGTGAGACTGTCTAATGATGGAGACCCAGCAACCAGAAGCAAACAAAAATAAAACTCTGACGCCCCTGCCGTCTGGCACGGAGCTTGTGGGCAATGGGCATTCACGTTCCCCCTAGCGCAGGTCGCGCGCGGGCAAAGCAAAGACGGAGGGCGAGAAAGTCTCCTGGCTGTCCTGGCGGGCAGTCGCACCTCCGTCAGTGCCGTCGGGGAGTTGGCGATGCCGGCTGCCGCCGACCAACCATCCGTCCATCCATCCCCAGGTCCCGTCTGTGACACCGTGGCAGCATCGAAAGCCGCTGATTCTAGGGACGGGACTGCCGGGTCGGTTGGGCGGCCCAGAGCGAACACCCCGCAGCGGCCGGCACGCGCCAGCATCGGGCGGGGAGACGGGCCAAGACTCAAGGAGCATCCATCTGAATAGGGCCGGCTAGGGGTGGGTGATGGGGCCCCGTTCAGGGCCACCAATGCAGCTGGAGCGCTCCAGCTGCATGGAACACGCCCGGACAGCGGACCTCCTGGTCCACCAGCGGCGCGGTTGGGTCAGGCAGTGGAGCACCAGGACCTGGAGGGAACCTGGAAGCTTGGGAAGCCAGGTACAAGCAAGGTGCCTGCCTCCCTTGCGCACCAGTACCTGGCGCCAGCGCTGCACGGCACGAGGGGTTCGTGTACAACCACTGCATCAATGGGGCAGCGGCCTAGGTACCTGCGGCAGCATCACCCCCCGGCTGGAGGACCGCCCGCTACAGGCGCCTCCTCCAGCTGCTGGACTGGGCTGGGCTGGCTCTGGCTCTCTCTACCTGAGGTACCAAAAAGTGGACACCTCGGCATGCGCGCATCACGGGATTCGATAGGTGTGACTGGAGGCTTTGGAAAGGACACAGTTACAGGTTAGAGGCGCGCTTCAACCCCCGGCAGCCCCATCAAGCCGCCTGAGGTCATACCTTAGCTGGCAGCTCAGGTCCGGCAGCCCTCGTTCGTTCGCTTCGCGCCAGCAAACTAACCTTCCTAGCCTGTCGTCCTCGCCTCCAACCCCTCATCCTTACTTGAATCTCCATCGTGTCCTCGCCCCGTCTCGAGGCCATTCACTTGTTGTCCAATTCCTCGCGTCAGACTCGCCCCGGCCTCCCTTGTCCGCCTTCCCTCCCCCCCGCGGCTCCCTCCCGCTCGCCGTTGCGCATCGTCACCAGCCTCCTCCAGACTCGCCTCAAGCGTTCCTCGACAAAGGGCCAGCGTACGCTCCCGTCGACCTCGCTTGCTGACGACCGTCACAGCAACAACACCACCAGCAGCAGCGGCAACAACAACGACAGACGCCCCGCGAGGCACGAGATTCGAACCGCCCGACGCTCCATCGTCCGACGCTCGTCACCATGTCCCAGCGCGGTCCTTCCGGCTACGGCCTCGGCGGCGGGCCCGCATCCTACGGAGCCTCGTCCCAGCCCGACGAGTCCAGCGGGAACATCCTCGACCAGATCCGGCCGTACACGAGCAAGGCCGAGGATGTTCTCGACAACCTCAGCGAGCCCATCAAGCCGTGAGTGTCTGATGCCCTGGGTCCAGCGAAGCACGCGCCCTTGCCAGAGGGGACCCGATATGCTGACGCGAAAGCTTCCCTCTCCCTCCAGCTACCTCCCAGCCATTGGCCGCTTCCTGATTGTCGTCACGTTTCTCGAGGATGCCCTCCGCATCATGACGCAGTGGTCTGAACAGCTCTTGTACCTGCACGACTACCGAAAAAGTATGGCCCAGCTGTCCGTCGCGACGCGACAGAACCCCCAATAGCGACTGTTGCTGACACGTCGCGTTCAAATAGTCCCCAACGGCATCACGCACATCTTTCTCATTGTCAACGTCATCGCCATGATCGCTTGCTCGACCCTTGTCATTGTCAGGAAGCACTCGGACTACGCCGTCGCCGGCCTCATGGGGGTCGTAGTCACCCAGGCGCTTGGCTATGGCCTCATCTTTGACCTCAACTTCTTCCTGCGCAACCTGTCCGTCATCGGCGGCCTGCTCATGGTGCTCTCCGACTCGTGGGTGCGCAAGACCAAGGCATTTGCCGGCCTGCCCCAGATCGACGAGAAGGACCGCAAGATGTACTTCCAGCTCGCCGGGCGCGTGCTGCTCATCTTCCTCTTCGTTGGCTTTGTCTTCAGCGGCCAGTGGTCCATCTGGCGCGTCGTCGTCTCCCTCATGGGCGCCGGCGCATGCGTCATGGTCGTTGTCGGCTTCAAGGCCAAGTTCAGCGCCACCCTGCTGGTTGTCATTCTGAGCATCTTCAACCTCTTGGTCAACAACTTCTGGACGGTAAGCCTCCCGCTTTGGCCTGGGGCTTCAATTGTTGCATTTCAAATGCTGACGGCTTGAACTAGCTGCACCCTCACCACCCGCACAAGGACTTTGCCAAGTACGACTTCTTCCAGATCCTCTCGATCGTCGGTGGCCTGCTGCTCCTTGTCAACAGCGGCCCCGGCCAGTTCAGCATCGACGAGAAGAAGAAGGTCTACTAAAGGCCGTCACGAGGCACTCCGGCTCCCCGCGAGACACGGGACGTCCCGCGCCACGTCAAGGCTCAGCGCCTGAAGGCCGCGCAAGGCAGTGACGTTCGGTTACGTTGGGAAAGCTGGTAGTCAAGGATCTTCCTCGCGGATCACACTCACGAGCATGTCCGTCACGAAATGTCGAAAATATCACACACACACACACTCACACACACTCACATATAGAAGGTGTTGTTTCAGCAGGATCGGAGGGGACGCGAATGGGGGAAAACAAACAGTGTCCGTTTCAGTTTACAAGTACGCAACGAGCTGGCCGAGGTCGTTGAGGCCGCGGCGGCGACGAGTTGTTGCTCTCTCTAGTCTCTAGCCATGGGTGGAGTTTTGAGTTGCGTTCACAAGGGTAGTTTCCACGCCAAAAGCACTGTTTGGTAGTCGTAGGATATGGTACCGGTCTGGTAGTATGACAAGCAGCTCGCAACTTGTAACCAGGCGCGTCTCAACGCCGCTCACCGCCAGAACACAGGGACGGGGCATTTTGGTTCAAAGAAGTTTGAGTCCGCCGAATGTACAGCATATGATGCACATACCTGCTCGTGCATGTTCGTCATGCATGACCGGCTGCGTCACGTGATGGTCGATCTTGTGAAACGGCTTGCCAACGGACGCCATCCTTCCTGGCCTGGTCCAGTTATAGTAAGACTAAGGTAACCGGGGGCCACGATGTCGAGACCGCCTCTGCCACAATTTCCCGCTTTCCTCCTCAATTCTCACAGGAGCCGGCGCTGATTATGGACCATGCTCCGTTGGAAAGAAATGACAGACGCACTTAGCAGCTTTCGCCCTTTCTTTCCAGTCGAGATCTTCAACACCGAGTAACGAGGACTTACATTGACTGCAGTGAGCTGAAGCGGGGCACGACGCCGCCTCTCCCACTTCCAACCTCCAGAGCGTTGAACCTCAACCAAGCTCGAGGACCTTGACCCAAGTTCACAGCCCGGCTCCTCCGCCATGGCGGCCGAACTGGTCGGCACGACAATCGGCGTCGTGGGGCTGCTGGGGCAGCTCTTCGACGGGTGCGTCAAGGCCTACGGGTACTTCACGACGGCGTCGCGGCTCGACGAGGACAGCCAGCGGCTCATGTGCAAGGTGCGCATCGAGGAGATGCGCCTCGTCGTCTGGGGCCGCGAGTGGGGGGTCGCCGAGGGCAAGTTCGAGGCGCATCTCGACGGCGCCGCCGCCGCCGCGGGCACGGGGAGGGGCGCCAACCCGCAGCTGCGCGCGCTGGCGACGCAGATCCTCGAGGAGCTGCACTCGACGGTGACGGACTTTCGGCGGCTGCAGGAGAAGTACGGGCTGGTCGACGCGGGGCACGCCAGCGGCAACGGCAACGGCAATGGGAATGGCAGCGGCAACGGCAACGGAGACGGAAACGGCGTGGTCCGGGCCAAGACGTCGCCCTCGCCGCCGTCGTCGTCGTCGTCCAAGGGCGCCAAGGACGAGGCCGGCGGGCGCAAGCTCAGCACCGCGAGGACCAACTCGGCGGGCACGGAGAGGAGCTGGAGGAAAGAGTTTAGTCTGCGGACGAAATGGGTCATTGCAGGTCAGTGCCGGCTCCTGTTGAGGGAATGCCTACCACGCTCGGCGGCTGGCTTACCATTCTCAACGACGGCAGACAAGGACAAGTTCACCAACCTCCTCAAGGACCTCAAAGGTAACGAAACGCGACGCACATGCCGACGAGGGGGATCTCGGAAGCTGACTGGCGCGCATACGGCAGACTTCAACGACGGGCTCGAGCGGCTCTTCCCCGCGTCGCAGGTGCCGTCGTTCCAGCGGGCGTGGACGCACCAGCTGCTCGAGTCGGCGGAGCGCGACCTCGCGCAGCTGTCGCTCCTGGAGCGGGCGTCGACGGGCATCTACCCCAAGCTGGAGACGTCGGCCAACCTCAAGCGGCTGCGCATCAACCTCGACTCGAAGCCGCAGGCGGCGTTCAAGCCGACGTTTGCGCTCAAGGTGCCGCGGTCGGCGCTCGCGATCCGCGGCGAGGACCGCGACCACCCGCTGCGGTGCCAGGCGCACCACGAGACGGCGGGCGACGTCGTGGTCGAGTGGGTCGACTACGACCGCGAGGCCATCGAGGAGCGCGTGGCGCACGTGCGGCGGATGGACGACCTGGCGCGCATGATGCACTCGGCGTCGGAGCGGCACCCGGACCTGCACAGCATCGACTGCGTGGGCTACACGGACGACGCGGCGCGGTCGCGGTACGGGCTCGTCTACAAGGCGCCGGCGTCGTCGCTGTCGACGCTGCACGCCCTCATGGCCAGCCCGGACCTCAAGACGCCCGACCTCGACGACCGCGTGCGCCTCGCGCAGACGCTCGCCGTCGCCCTCTGGTCCCTCCACTCGCTCGACTGGCTGCACAAGTCGCTCTGCGGCGCCAACATCCTCTTCTTCCCCTCGGCCTTCTCCTCCGCCGCCCGCTCCCCGACCGCCGCCGCCGCCCTCGTCCCGGACATCTCGCGCCCCTTCCTCAGCGGCTTCGACTCGTCGCGCCCGGACCTCGACGCCGCCCTCTCCGTCGCGCCCCGGAACCCCTCCATCGCCGACCTGCACCGCCACCCGGCCTCCCTGCGCGGCCTCGCCCCCTACTGCCGCGCCTTCGACGTCTACTCCCTCGGCCTCGTCCTCCTCGAGATCGGCCTCTGGAAGGTCCTCCACACCTACCACAAGCCCCACTACTCGGCCGACCGCTGGCGCGACAAGGTCGTCCTCGCCGTCCTCGTCCCCGGCCTCGGCAGCAAGGTCGGCCGCCGCTACCGCGAGGTCGTCGACATGTGCCTCCGCGCCGGCGACGACCTGTCGAGCGCCGAGGCCGGCAAGCTGATGGAGACGGTCGTGACCAAGCTCGAGAGCATATGCGTGTGAATGAATGTGTTACCCACAGAGGAGAGAGAGAGAGAGAGAGAGAGAGAGAGACACGACTCATGAACGATGACAGTAGCGACGACGACGACGACACCATGTTGACGAAGCGCACGGTTGGTTGGGATAGAATGAATGCACCTCCCACAGAGGGTGAATGTCGCCACATCGTCACAAGCAAACACATACACATAGACGCATATACACAACTTAAGCAAAACACACGATCCCGGCCGGCATGGCCCCCCACAGTCACAGCACTAAACAATGCGTTGGTTTTTTTGAGCAAAAAAGGATGTAAATGTAATGCATGCCATGCCTCTGCTGTTATATGCCTGCTCCTGCGCTCTCATTCATCCCTTCACCCATCCATCCTCCTTTGCTCCATGTGCCCCTGGCTCGCGTCGCGCCCCCATACCAATAAGGTGAATAAATGGCTGCCGCATCAACAAAAATAACACTTTACTCTGACAATAGAACCACGGGGCAGCGCGGAAAAGAAGCAAAAAGAGCCCATAAGAAAGCAAAAAACTCCGTATACCCATGATGTCCGTTTCCTCGCGTCGCCAAAACGAAACACCAAAAGGAGCGCGGGCATTTCCAGCCTGGCTCTCGACTGCTCTCTCTCGCTCTCTCCTTTCCGCCTCCTCCCCTCGTGCCTCTCGCGCGTTCGCTTTGACACCCAACCGTTTGAAACGCCAGTCATTCCCCATGTATGCGTGCATGCGCATCGATTTTGTACGTCACGTCGTGGCAGTCGTTACACCGTGTCATGCGCCCTGTCCGCCGTCGTCACCGACAGGTCCGGAGCGGGCTCGTCCCCTACGACCCAGACACCTTCCGGGCCGTGGATGCGGCGACGCTGGCGCTCCCGACGCGGCCGCTCGTCTTGCGGATGCCGGCCGAGTCCTTGGCCCGCAGCGGCGACTCGGAGCCCGCACGCTTGCTACCGCGGACCCTAGTCAGGACGCCCGGCGTGCTGGCGACGCGCTCCGCCTTGTTGGACCGCATCGACCCAATGTTCTCGGCGTCCTGGGACGAGTCGTTGTCGACCGTGTAGATGCTCGACGTCGTCTGGCTGACGGACCGCACCTTGGCGCTCCGGCCCGGTGACTGCGACGCCTTGCGATGGCTGCGCATCCGCAGGTGGATCTCCTCATCCGACTCGGCGCCCTGGGAGTGACGGTGCATCGTCACAATCTCCGTCTCGTGCTCGATGCCCGTCTCCTCCTCGACAGTGGTGTGATGCGACGTGGACCGCTGGTAGGGGTGATGGCGGTCGGCGCGCGTCGTCTTACGCGGCTGGCCTGGCGTCGGCGCAGGGAGGTAGTCCTCGTGGACGCCCACGTTGTTGCGGTCGTGATCGACCTCGCTCAATGGCGTGCGGTTCGACGGGCTGCGGTTGGGCGGCGTCGACAGCTGGCTGCTGCGGATGCCCGACTTCTGCATGGCGCGCATGGGCGTGCTGGGGACCTGCTGGGACGCGGCCATCTCACGGCGCAGCTTGCGCTCGACCCGCTCCTCGATCCACCACTCCCTAAAGGTGCCCTGGTTGAGGTGCAGCCAGTGCTGCTGGGGGCCGACAACCATGCCGGGGCGCATGAAGCGCATGAAGGAGATGACCTCGTCGGCGGTGAAGCCATGGCGGTAGATGAGGTAGGCGCCGATGAGGCAGCCCGTGCGGCCCAGCCCGGCCTTGCAGTGGACGGCAATGCCCTTCTTCCGGACCGTGATGGTCTCGTGCGCCAGCCGAATGAACTTGCGCACTGTTGTCAGCGTCGGGCACGTGCCGTCGTCGAAGATCATGTCGAGATGCTGGATGCCAAGCGCCTCAAAGTACGAGGGGGAGTAGAGGGGAGAGTTAAGGCGGACCACGAGCCCGATATTCTTCTCGGAGAAGTGCCGCAAGACGTTCTTGAAGGGCTGGGGGAGAGTCGGGTGGGCGTCGACGGCTGCGAGATCCCTGGGCAAAGAGGAGAAGAGCTCAGAGCCCTCGGTGATCTTGGCCACAGGGGTGTGTTGGGGGGAGGCAAAGGCAAGGAAGTGCGGCGTTATCCAGTTGAAGTCGCCGTGCTCGACGCGCTCAAACTTTTCGTACATTTCGAGGTCAAAGTTGTCAAGGTCGCAGCACTTTTCCTCCTTGGCCTTCCAGACGCCGTAGACGACGTCCTGGACGGTGATGCCGTAGTCGGCCTGGCTGTAGCCGGCGTCGCGGAAGGGCATCAGCGGCGGGTCGACCTGCGCAATGGGCGCGAGGGCGAGATGGGGCGGCCAGTTCTGGATCAGAACCATGTAGCAGGCGAGCATGCATGCAGCGTTTGCGCGGCCTGGATCACGTCTCCCTGTCAGCATATAGTACTCCCGCGGGAGAAGCATGCGATTGAAGAAACGGGAGGGGCAAGACTCACTTCTCGGGTCGGCGGCGCTCCAGAAGACGACCGGCCGGTCCTTGTTCTCCTTGGCGCCGAGGATGTCGTGGAAGCGGATGGCGAAGCGGTACAGGTGGCCAATGTGCAGAGGCCCAAAGTCGTGGTGGAAGGCATTGTAGAGGAGGGTGTCGTCGACGGTGAAGTAGCAAGGAGGCACGCGGCTGCTCGTGGGCAGGTCAGCGACGGCGGCGCGCTGGGAGCGCTTCCGCGGCGAGACGGGCGTCTCGGGCGTCGGGAAGAGCGTGTCCGACGAGGGCGGGTTGACGTAGGCGGCGAGATATAGCCGGTCTGCGAGGCATCGTCAGCGTCAGGGTCGGGCGGTGAGGAGGCCATGGCGGCGTTGGGCCCCCCTCGCGCGCGCGGGTTGCGATGCGGCCCGTGGCGCAGAGGAGCCGGAGCTGTGACTTACCGGGTATGTACTCGATGATCTGCCCCATGTTTTGGGCGTGCCTCGAGGTAGGAGCCATTGCTGTTGCGGAGGCTCAGGCTCGCCGTGCTCGGGAGGGGGGGTCCAGGCGCAAACAACAATAACAACAACAACAGCTGCTGCCACCGGGCCTCGTCGACTCTTCGACGGGAGAAGGGCGCAACAGAGACGAGACGGCAAAGCAGATGGTAAACCTTGTTGCTGCTCTTGCGTGATGCGCGCGCGCTCCGCAAAGGAAGAGATATCGACGACGTCGGGGGCGGGCACACGACACCACCAACCTGCGCTTTCACGGCCGGGCAATTGGCAACGTCCCAAGAGGATGCGCAAGCAGAAAAGGAGGAGGCAATGGCCGGGAGAGGGGGAGGTCGACCGGCGTTGGATCGGATGAGTGACGAAGAGGGTGAATGGAGGAAAAGAAATCCAACGGCGACGTCGAGGGAGGAACTGGGCCAACTTGTGGGAAGGGGACCAAGACGTCAACGGGTGTGTGGCGGGCGTTCACGATGTTTTTGTACGGAGCAGCGACGACAGGCGGGCAGTCGGGCAGGCGACAGGCGACAGGCGACAGTATTGGAGGCGGGACGACAGCCCAGGCGGGCGACAGGCGGTCCCGCCCACTGCAAGTCTCCCAATTGTTATTCTGCCAGGCCCTGTCGCACCCCCCGGCTCAAAACAGGGCCCCGGTGCGGCCGCCGCGGCGGTGGGTCGGGCCCCGTCGCCAGGGCAACCACCATCCGTCAGGACTGAGGTGGCAGGCTGCATGGCCCCGGTCTGGCCGCTGGGCTGTCCCGTCCACTGGCGTGGCAGCCGTTCGCCCAACTGGCGGCACCACCACGGCTTGGCTTCCCCTGCAGCCCTACCTGGGGCTTCAGCAGGTTAGCTCCCGCCTGGCCGCTCCCTCCCCCCCAACGGCTGGGCGTCTGCGCCACACGGGCACTCGGCTCCTCTGCCACACGCAGCCAAGCTGCTTCTGCTGCAAGGCTTGTTTCTGTCCGTCCTGTGGCTTGGGCCGTCCCGCCCGCTGCAGCGGCACCAGCGGGAGCAAGTCCAGCAGCCCCAAGCATCCAATATTGGCTGGCTCGCGGAGCCGTGGAGCCTTATCCGGGCCCCTCAGCCACACACACACACCTCTTTCTGTTCTCGCCTTATCCAGCGGGCGCCGGGACTGCGCTGCCCCGCCCTCGAGTCCTCCTCCCGCGACGACGGGGCCTGCGACGCCGACGCCGACGACGACAAAACTTCCCACGCCAACCCGGAACCCAAGCGAATACCACCGACTGCATTCCTCCCGCTGAGTCGCGTGTCCACCGCCCACCACAACAGCGGGCGCGCACAGCCCTCCTCTCTCACCTTGGGCAGACCGGCCGAGACGGACGACGGACCTTGCCGCGAGAGGGCCCCTCCTCCTCCCGCCAAATGCTTCGCAGGCCGTAGCCATGGCCACGACCACCGCCACCACAACAGCGCCGCCCGCATCAGCGAGCGGCGACGCAGCCTTCCCCTGCTCAATGTACGTCCTCCTTTCGCGCGCCCCCCGCTCCGCCTCAAGACCCGTCATCCGCACCCGGCTCGTACGCTCAGCATTCCTCCTTCCTCACTGCTACCCGCAATGTCTTCGCCACCGACCTCTGCTCATGCGGGTCGCCCGGCGCAAAGGCAAAGGCGCGCGCATACGCACACAATTGAAAGAGAGCACACGGCTTCGAAAATAGAACAGTCTCCCGTTTAGCGTACAGTACAGTACAAGCCCTTGGCTGACGTCCCCCCGTCCACACGGGCACCTCCAGAGCCCTGCGCGTGCCCCTCCCCTCGGCGCGCCTCGCCTCCACCGCCCTCCGCGCCCTCGAGGTCGACCCGGAGCTCTCCCCGCTCGTCCGCCGCCAGCTCTCCGTCGAGGCTGCTGCTCCTCCTGCTGCCGCCGCCGACGCCGACGCCGACGCCGCCCTCAAGGTCCTGCACGTCGACTACCAGGCCACCACGAACCGCATGCTCCGCGTCGCCGTCAACTCCTTCCTCGACAGCCTCAAGCTCGTGCTCGAGGTCATGGAGCAGCTCGACGTCGATGTCTTGGCCGAGCAGCACCAGCGGCAGCTGCGTCAGGGGCCGCCGACATGATACACTGGATACGTTACAAAGACAAACAAAACATTGAAATGACCCACCACCACGTTTGCCCGCCTCTCGTGCCCCGTCATGAGGTTCGCCTCCTCCAAGTGTTGCAGAGCCCATCTCTCACACGCGAATGTGTCCCGAGTCTCTGTCAAGATCCGTATGCATTACGCTAGTCTCCTCTGCCTTTCCAACGTCGACCGCCGTACAATGTCGCTTGTGGTCCTGGTCCTGGTCCCCGGCGTTTGCCCATGCACCGTCCATCTGTATATACAGTAAAACATCACCGCGTACCGTTTCAAGTCATCTCGTCGCCATTATCATTTGCGCTGCAAGCATTCTTGTCAAACATTTGCCCTTCCCCGGCCACCCGTGTGCTATGTCGCCGCCGACTCCTCCTTCTCCTCGGGTTGCCCTTTCAGCTTCTCCAGCTGGCTCTTGAGCTGCTCCAGCTGCTGCTTGAGGTCCACGTTCTCTTGCTGCAGGGTCTTCATGTGCACAATGGCGTTCTCCACCACGCTGGCCTTGCTGTTGGCCATGCTCGATCCCTTGGCGTCCTTCTTGTCCGCCTCTTCCGTGCCCTCGATTACCGGCTGGTCGGGCAGAAGCCCGGCCATGACCTGGAGCGCCGAGTTGATGCGATTCCGCCGTCCCTGCTCGGCAATCTTGTGAGACGTCCTCTTTGACGTCAGATTCGTCGACAGCTCGCTGGGGTACGACACGCCAGGCACCGTGTTTCCTTCCAGGATGTTTTGGTAGTTGGACTTGGACATGAGCAGCCTCGACGCTGTGTCCTCGGCCGACAAGCCCGGCGTCCCGGGAAGCAGGGGTTTGATGTTGGGAGATATCCTCGGGAGCAGTGCGGGCGAGGCGTGAACTGAGCCGGTCGAGCGTTTCCTGCTATTCCGGGAGGCGAGCTGGGGAGTTTTCCTCGCCGCGGGCCCAGACGAGCCCGGCCGCAGTTGGGGGCTTGCGCTGGCAGATGCCGTGCCAGACGCCCTGATGCCGGGCGACGGCAGGGGCTGCAGCGTTGAATTCCTCGCCGAGATCGGCTCGATGCGGGGAGATGGCGATGTGAGCGACGTGTTGATGGGCATAAGCGGCCTGTTGTTGGAGATGGACTCAGGCAACTCGAGCGACTCGATGTTTTCCGTGACCATGTGCTCCTCCTGGCCGCTTGTGGGCGGGCCCTTGTCCTTGGTAGCGGGAAGCTTCATCAGAGACGCTGGCGTCGCGGGATGAGGTTGTTGTTGCACCACCGGTTGTTGTTGTTGCTGCTGCTGTTGGGGCTGCGGTTGCGGTTGTGGCTGCTCGGCCTTTGCGGAGCGAGGCTGAGGCTGCTGAGGGCCGCCGTTCTGGGGCCGGATGTAGGGAGACTTGCTCGTCGACCTCCGGTTCGGGACCGGAGGCGGGGGCATATCGGTCAGATTCTCCGGCGACACAGAGGCGTTCTCCTCCGACCCATCGGTAGATGTCGCCGGCAGCGGCAGTAAGCCCTGGTCAGCGGACCGAATATTCCGCTCGTCCACCTCGCTCAGGACTTGCGACACGATGGCCGGGCTGGGGCCCGTCTTTCGCCGCTGGGGCTTGGTGATGGGTGAGCTCTTGATGCTGGCCTTGCCCCTGGCCTTGACGGCGTTGTTTTTCCGTGCCTTCTTGGAGAGGTCCTGGGCGCTGGGAGCGGGCGCGATGGCGGGCGCCTCGAGGTCCATCTCGATGGGAGAGTTGTTGGAGTGCGTGCTGTGGTCGTAAGCTGATGAGGAGTCGTTTTGCGCATGCAGTGCCGGCGACGTCAGGGGGCTAAAGTAAGCACCCGGGACAGTGAAGGCATTGTCCATGTTGAAGTGGGGATCCAAAGGTGTCACAGCAGGAGACACGAGGGGCGTAAAGGCCATCTGATGCTACAGTCAGCACGTGCACATTCTCACATGGGCTCTTGTCGCCGGCAACGGGCCAAGGCTTTGAGGCAATGGGAACATGTCCTACATCTTGCTGCTCAGCGACGCGCTGGTGATAACCCCTGTCGTAGACGCCCTGCCGGGCGACCTGCTCGGGCTGGGAGTAGAACTGGCCGCTGCCGGGGGCCATCTCGAGGCTCTGGGGCGTCGGGGGCACGGAGTGGCTGTGGTTGGAGAAGAAGGTGGCGCGCTGCTCCTGGAGGACGCGCTGCTGCTGCTGGTACTTTTGCTGTTGCAGATACTGGATCTGGGCGTCGATGCTCGAGATGGTGTCGCTCGGGGCCGAGGTGGCCATCATCTGGGCGGGCATGGCGGCCGTGGTCATGGCCGGGGTGTGGTTCTGGAGGAGGCCGTCGCTGCGGGGGATCATGTGCGAGGGGTCCGAGTCGGCCATGATGGAGTCGTGCTGCTGGTGCTGGCGCGACTGGGCCATCATGGGCTGGGCGGTGCTGTCCTGGAAGCCGTGGAAGTCGAACTGCATGCCGTCGCCCATGTTGGCCATGCCGCTCATGTCGAGGAACTGGTTGAACTCGTCATCGCCGGCAGCGGCCATGTGCTGGTCCTGCCCGTCCCACGCCGCGGAAGCCATCATGACAGTGTATCGCGAGGGGTCGTGTGTCGCGCCGTTGAGTCGGGGATGAGATGCGATGAAATGGGTCGGACGGCCGGGATGAGTGTGTGGCCGTGCGCCGAGGGTGTGTGTCGTGAGATGGAAAGCGAGCGTCGTCGTCGTCGTCGTCTAACGAGTCAATGGCCTGTCTCTTATACACATCTAGATGTGTATAAGAGACAGGGATGAGTGTGTGGCCGTGCGCCGAGGGTGTGTGTCGTGAGATGGAAAGCGAGCGTCGTCGTCGTCGTCGTCTAACGAGTCAATGGCGCATCGACGACTCTTGCGTCGCTCGTGGCGCTGGCCGTCGTCAATGACAAGCCGAGTCGGCCGCCGGATGGACGTCGTAGAGACGAGCCGGGTGAGGAGGGCTGGCTCGCGGGTGGTGAGCGACGGTGTTCAATGGGCGGCGCGGGACTTTTTCCCACTGGCCGCATTCGTCTGGCGTCGTCGGCGAGCGGTCGTCGCGGCGGCGCCTTCGGGGAGGGGCCCGTGTGCAATGGGCGACGACGATGGCGCAGCAAAGGTGAGACGAGCGCGCGGAGCTCGAGGCGGCTCGACGATTGCGAAATGCGTCGCAAGGGGGCGTTCAGGTTGTTCTTCTGCTGAGGCCGTGACTTGGCAGCGGCAGAGCAGGTCGAAGCCGGTGGTCTGACGAGAGGGAAATGGCCGCGGGTGAATCGCTCGCGGGTCGGCGAGCGACCGAGAGAGGCGCTGGTGGGAGCAACTAGACAAAGTGGGGAGGGGGGATGATCTAGAATGGATGGCAGCATCCCGCTGGGAGTTCCAAGGTTGGGTCGCTTGGCCGAGGGTAGCGTGCTGGTGTGCGTGCCCTGTCTCTTATACACATCTAGATGTGTATAAGAGACAGGGATGGCAGCATCCCGCTGGGAGTTCCAAGGTTGGGTCGCTTGGCCGAGGGTAGCGTGCTGGTGTGCGTGCCTTGTTCGTAGGTGGCAGCGCCGGTGGCTGGCCAGGTGGCCCTGGGCCGGGGGGCCTCGAGGCAGGCGGCGGACCCCCAAAATACCGAGTCGGTGCTGGCTTGGTGGTGGTGGCCTGCGCTGGTTTGGAGGGGGAACGCCCCGGCCACCGCAGACGGGACTGCTGTACGAGTAATCGTCGGGCAGACACACGGGCGGGACCCAGGGTTCGGTGCAGCAGTGACCTGCGCCTGCCGATTAGCTGAGGCGCCCGGGGGGCTGCCCCCGGCGTGGCAGAGCGCCAGGCAGGCTGCCCCCCAGGCGAGTGGGCGGCGGCGCACCTTTAGCGACCCCACCAACGAGCTAGTGGTGTCGACGGTGGGGACCCCATCTCGCCCATCTCGCTGCTCTGTGCGTGCTTGCCCGTGTGGCCGGAACCTTTTTATTTTTCTCTCGCCAGGGGACTTTCTGTCGTTTTTTTTTTGGTCCTCTGGGTCAATGATTCGGCAACGGTTTTTCTTGGCCTCTCTCGCGCGCGATGGATGTTGCCGTGGTAGCATCACTCGCGGGGTTCGGTGGAGAGCCTTGGAGAGTCTAGCCATGGCGGACCGACCACAGAGGGGGGACCAGAACCAGAAGCTGTATTCCTCAGGTTCCATGTCTTGGTTTCGGTGCCTGCTTTGCACGGTACTGTAGAAAGCGGACGGGGCATAGAAAGATCCATCCGTCACCCACCACCCCTGGCTATCGTCGGGTCGCCGGCCCGCCGACTGTGCGACGCCGTGTAACGAGACACGGCATGCGATGTCTGTCGGTAGACTCGATGATCGCCGAGCTGCGAACCGTCAATTGTCCAGAGTTTAGTTGGCTGCCGGGTCGGTTGCAGATCTGAGCCTCCGCTGTGTGCCGCCGCCGTCTGCCACTTTGCCAGTGCCACCTCCTCTTCCAAGGCTTGACAGGGCAGATGAGCGGCTGCTGAGCACCACCACCACTCAGAAAGCACGCATCACGACCACCACCACCACCAAAGAAGCCGGAAATCTCAGGGATCTCGGTCCAAGAAACGGGTCACCTGCTCCCAGCCGCTTCCATTGGCGCGCCCTGCAAGCCCCCCTGTCGCCATGCAACGACCATTGACACACCCACCCACCAATCTCGTCCTCGACCAGCTCGACTGCCCGTCGACGTTATCATTCTGCTGCCTCTAAGCTTTCTGTCTCTGGTGGTGGTGCACCGAGTACGAAATATACCTACCTTGGCAGTATGTGTAATTCCCGTTTGCGTGTGGCCTCCTCCGTCTCCGAGGCCCTCAGGTACTCTAGTACCACTCGTACAGGGACTCATCCGGCACTACTGGTTGACTGGGTAAATCTGCTCTTTCCCCGACAGGCCGCGCAACTCCCCCGTGGGCCGTGATCTTTTGGTACGGTCCACTTTCTCTACTAAGGTAGAGGTCTCTCTCTGTCCCTCTGCGGCGCAAACGAACCTGCGTCAGACGAGAAGCGCCATGGAACAAAGCGGCGGCGGGCCGTCGGCCAACTCGAGCGGCAACTGCTGCTGATGTTGCTGATGCTGCTCTGCTGCCGCGCATAGGTAAGTAGGTTGCACGAGTTACCAAAGCCAGCGAGCCAGCCAGCCAGCCGGGCACTCATGCGCCCGCCGGCGCCCACTTGCTCTCTGACCGCTACCTACCGCGAATGGAACTTGTACGCCGCCCTGCCCTGACTGCCCCGACTGCCGCCCCGGAGCCTGCCTACCAGGCGCCCGCCTGTTTCTGAAGCGATTGGCAACCTCGCAACAACCACATGTTCCGCCCGTCGGCAACCGCAAACCTGCGCACGCCATCGCCCT